TTGTTATTTGTTTAGAATTTTCTTTGATTTAATTAACAATTTTATTATACACATAAAGTTTGTATTGAGATAAGGCAATATTGTTGATATGTGTTACTCAGGTACATTTCGGAAGACTGTACCTAATAACGAACGAATTACTCACTTTTATTTGATTCTATGTAAATATAATTTATGTTCTTTTTGCACTAGTATTTTAACACGTCTTTGCCCATCTTTAATATAAATGTAGTATGAATAAAAGGTGCATCTTTTTTAATTGGAATAATGGTTTTCAATAAGTCAATAGTTTAGTTTCTAGAAACTGCTCTTACTAAATATCCTAGTAACTGGCTATGATTAAATTAATACTTGAATTTCATTGAATTATAAGTGATCTACATCCACGTATATTTCCCTTAAACAAAACCTCACACCCTGTAACCATATCTGGGAAAGTTATTTGGTTTCATGCGACCGTCGATATATTTGACGGAGGTCGGTTTATTAAAAGAAAATCTCGGAAAAATGACAGCCAACGAACACCATAGCATATATTCACTGTTTCCATTATGTTCCGAGTTTTAGAATGACTTTTAAAAAATATATGTAATTTGTATTAAAATAATCTTATAATATAATGAAAAAGAGATTCTGTGTTTAATTCCGAGACAATGTTTTTTGTGACTTCTATATAAAAGGAAGGTTGTGTGTATTTTGTTAAAAATATTTAATTCTCCCCTTGTCTACCCATATCATGGTAGACGGCAATTTGTTGAATATTTAATTAAATATATTTACATGAATACATTATGTTTGAAACATTAAATAATTACTATTTATTTTAAATTTTATATATATATAAAAAAAAGTGATGTCAAAATAAATTTAGTTTTATTATTTAAAAGTGTTAATATCTATGAGTTTTATGTCCAGACGGCAATTATGAGAAAAGGTTTGATCTAATTAAACTGGCCGGGTGTAATCTTTCCACTTTCAAGCAGATTATAAGCCAGCTGCCGCAAGATTTAGTTTATTATCTATTTATATTGCGAATATAAAATATAAACCTACATTCACAAGTTTGCTTCAAAAAATTGCGACTAAATAACAAATTTTATAAACATTTTTTAAGTAAACAAACTAGAAACAATAAGTATGATGAATTGACAATGTGACACGTAATAAAAGTTATTTTTTAACTCTGAAAAAAACTAACAAACTTGCAACATTAAGCTCACATTGTTTGAAAGTAAACGACGTGGGTAAGTAATGATTACGCTGTTGAATATACATGAGAATGGAGATGTTATGCTTTAAAGAGTTGAAGTTTGTCGTGGGTGTCTTCGTACTTACTTCACCTGTACTCACAACTTGAAGCAAATTACCACCTCAAATTTCAATCCATCATTGGTATGTTTTCATTTACAATATAAAAACCATTCACACTGTTCGATATGAATGGTTTCAATGTATTTCATGTCTGTTTTCAATTTTTCAACGTCACAACCTATAGTCTTAAACTAATGGACTGGAAACTGGTGAATGAGAACAAACATTTTTCACATATACGTTGATAAATTTAATGAATGAAATGTAATTATTAACAGATGCGATGAATGAATGGAAACGGATTTTATGTTGGAATGAATGAAATTTAGCAGATTTTATTTTTAACTCTCAACGTATATGAGGAGATAAATAAATTTAACTAAAGGTATATATTTAAGGTAATTTATTATTAGTGCGGCTGAAGTATGGCTTATTAAAATTATTAAATAATACAAATGATGTCAATATCACTCAAAAATTAAGTCAGTGGTGGCCTAGTGGTTAAAAGGTCCGCCTCTCATGCACGAGGACGCGGGTTCGATCCTGGCAAGTACAAATGTGATTTTTCGGAGTCATATGTATTTTCAAAGAGTATTTAGACATCACTGATTAATGCATTCCCAAAGAGGGTTGATGTCAGGCAGGCGGCCGGTCGTAAAACAATTAGCCAAAACTATTCACAACATGTAAGGCGGACCCTGGCTAAAGCCCGGAAATTGGCAAAAAGAAGAAGAATATTAATGATGTATTAAATAGTATAGTATAACTATCTCATTTCATGAGAGAAATAAATTTAAATAACAATATATTAACTTGATTCAGAACTCAATATTTCATTGTTAAAATAACTATACGCACTCAGTTAAAAGTCCAAGACTTTAAGAAAACAGTTAAACGAATTGAATCAATAAAACTGAAGAGTCTGTTAATGTAAGTACATCTCAAGTTTAAGTTTAACTTTGAATTTATTACTTGCACTCAACTTGTGACTACTGGAATAACTTCGGCGCACATAAAAAATGCACAAAGAGTGGAACCTCTATTGTCACTCTTAATAGTCACAGTGACTTTTGACACGAAAGGAGTTAGGTTGTATATATAATGTTAAGTATACAGGGTGACTGGTGAATTACTATCAATATTTAAGGAGAATACTCGGTACATGATTCTCATTCGAATTATGTAAAAAAATAGGTACTTAATTTTTGACCAAATTTCCGTATAAATAAATAAAGTGTGAACACGTTCCAAGTGTTCCAAGTGTGGACGCGTGCGGCGGCGTGCTGATACAACACCACGCCGCCGCACGCGTGTGTGTGTGTGTGTGTATACCTAATCTGTAGGGTGTTCACACGATGCCTAATTAATTACATAACTTTTGGTTAACTTTACTTAGAAGTTTATTAATATTTATGTTATATTAATTTTTATTTTGTCATATATGATCGTCAAATATCACGTCCTCAAGTATCGATAGTAATTCACCAGTCACCCTGTATATGTATATTGTTAGAAAAGAAAACGATGTTCTTTAAAAAAAAAAACGTTCGCCGGCCAATTCCCGATTTATTAATATTCAAAACTAATTAGGTTAGAGCTTTCGCACTTGACAATAGTTGAGAACAAAAAATGTCAGATTGTCACTAATTGCGCTCCTTATATAGGTGGCTTGAGGGTGGCTAGTTTAATAATTGATGATCATTAATATGACCGACCGAAGAATTATGCTTAAATATATTTTATAAAATTTAAATTTGACTAATATTATCAATGTCAAATTGCTTTTATAGGTATTAATAGCATTCTAAAGAGACATATATCTAAAATAAAATAAACATAGCATATAGTTTTATCAAAAATATATGTGAGGTAATTCAAATGAGTTCATACGTCGTTAGGTAGAAGATAAATCAATCTCATAAATACTATCGAAATGTATTCGTGTAGAATTTACAGTTGCCGTTGAATTATGACGACTGACGGATCAGGAGATGAATCATAGGTGAAGGTAGCTTCCGTTTGTATATACAAACAGTACTCTGGCCACTCAATACATATGTAACAAAAATAAATGCCATTTGTATGAAATACAGGCATACATTGATTAAAATCTTTATTGTATTAAATTTATATATCCTTTCTATGGTTAATTTAGTTAAAGTATTAGATTATGTTTCATTTAATTGTCGTCACGTTAAATCATTTAAGTTTTAATAAATTTGTTGAGATTATAAATAAGTAATGTGTTATGATATATGTACCGTGGTTCTACCGTAAATGTACTCCATACCTTATAAATATCTATAAAAGAAATAGTAAAGATGATGCAGTAGAAATTAAAATTATATATTTCATACAAATCATCTATTATTAGTTAAGTGGAGTTTTTAATTTTTAAATATTTCAGAATTAAATTAAATAAGATGTTTCTCTGAACGGCTGAGACATGTCTGGATCTAATGTTAACCAATACTTTTCACTTTATTTCCTTAAGGAAAAACACACTTTTACCTTCTTTTTTTCAGTGATAATTATAGCTATTTTTTACATTTAAGCCGGAAAAAATATTAGTAAGATAAACCATACTCTAGGAATATAAAAATTTTAACTTAAAGACAAATTTAGAAAAATTTTTTTCCTCGTCAAAATTTTTATAATGGAATAAAATAAAATGTATTATGTACTTTACTGTTTTAAAATATAATCAAATACGTCTGTTAAATCAATATAAATTTTCATAATTTTTTTTATGAAAAACCTTGCTGCAAACTAACCGAAATATATCTATGTAGCTTTAAAATAATAAAACATTCTTTATTATACCCGAAAATTTCTGTTTCATTTAAATAGAACTACGCAAAAATCCTTGATACCACTATTTCAAAAATCCTCTATAATATTTTTTTCATAAATCCTATATGTATATATTAATTTTAAAGCAATATTTTAAACAATACCAAAGCATACATTACAAAAACGATCCAATTAAGCTCAGTGTTGACTTCCAAAGCCACTCGGGACGCCAATATAGTATTGACCACATTAAGATAAGCTATCATCACGGGTAATGCACTCCACTGGCTAGCCTTATACATAATGTAAACAACCCGTGATACACTAATGTAATGACACACTTATCATACACCACAGACCATTTAAAGTATACACTTTCAATAACATATTAATATAATAAATTTTCATGAATTTATTTTACAAATATGAATTAAATTTGTATGGTTTTATTGGTAAATTAAACGATAATAAAAATTTAAGCTATTGATAATCAATTTCAGTGATTGTATTGTATTTACGTGCTCTTAGATCTATGTTCTTAATGGTTTATGAAGTAAAAATGTTTTTAAATATGTATATATGAGTTATTGGCAATAAATACAGATACTAGTGTATAACAAACAGTATTTAAACTTGAAAAATAAAAGGATATTATCGTTTGTTCTATATACGAATAATATTTTTTAATACATATCTTCATAACTTACAAAACAAATGTATAGATATATGATATGAAAGAACAATTTAACATTGATTTATCTTCGACTTTTTCCATACAGCAACTGTTATATAATACTCTGAATAGAGTATGGTAATGAAATAAAATATATTTTTGTATGTGACTTTACTATGCCCTGTCGTATAATAATATTATCTGATAATATTTGGCGTATTGTATGGGTTCGCGCTATAGCTTAATATCTACAACCGCGGCGTCGCTAAAACCACGACTTGCTCCAAGGTACGACGTAATAAAGCTTTTGAACTAACACATATAATATTCTTTGAAAATTTAGTTCTTTATTAAAAACCGGTTTTAATATAAAATTTATTTTTTAAATTTGTAATAACATAGCGTTCACATCACTTGACAATCTCATAACCGGTAATATCGTGTAACAGCTTTAATATTATGAAAACTTATGAAATTTTGTATACATCTTAAATATACAGGGTGACTGGTGAATTACTATCAATATTTAAGGAGAATATTCGGTACATGATTCTCATTCGAATTATGTAAAAAAATAGGTACTTAATTTTTGACAAAATTTCCGTATAAATAAATAAAGTGTGGACACGTTCCGAGTGTTCCAAGTGTGGACGCGTGTGTGTGTGTGTATGTGTGTATACCTAATCTGTAGGGTGTTCACACGATGCGTAATTAATTACACAACTTTTGGTTAACTTTACTTAGAAGTTTATTAATATTTATGTTATATTAATTTTTATTTTGTCATATATGATCGTCAACTACCACGTCCTCAAGTATCGATAGTAATTCACCAGTCACCCTGTATATATCAGTCTTTATTTATATGATAAAACCTCAAGTAATTGTTATTTTCGTATATATCATACAGTAGGAAACTATTTACTTTAACGTCACCTTTCCGATTGCGTCTCTAAATAAAATTTCTTTTGAGTCGTTTCAAACATCTTTTGTGTCGTCTGAAGAGAAGGAAACCAATTAGACAAAGTGTGAATGTGCCTTTATAGAGAGATGTACACGAAAATAGCGTTTATATATATGAAAGTAAGTGTCATATTTGCTTGTATGTTGGATATGTGGCTGATATAAAAGGATTTATTATGAACGATTGGACGGATCAAATGTTTGATCTTCCCAATTGTATCGCCGCTTCATTTAAAACTCCGCTCGCGGACAAATGATAATAATACTTATGTAAACTGAAGATCACAAATCAATATTAAATTTAATTAAATATTTCAGATCGTGTTGCCATATTCAAAGGATTTTTTTCAGATCGTGTTGCTATAGTCAAAAATTTTTTATTTGTTATTTGTAAAGAAAATCAAACGGGTTATTTTCAATACGGTGTTGTATAATATAATTATTTGTTTAACTGTGGAAGCACTTAACGAACTATATACATATTACTTTGCAAAATTATTTCTCATTTTTTTGCAATTAACCGTAAATTTCGTAGTTTGCAGAAGGCGACGGTAACATTTAAGTGGTTCAGTTAAATTGTATTTTATTTTATAATGGCAGTAGAATTGATGTGTAAAAAATATTGTAATAGTTGAATTTGAAAAAAATAATATATATGTATATTTAAAGAAGTTAAGTTTCATAGAAATTAGAATGTCTTTGAAAAATAAACGAGTACCTATTTAAATCGTATGTACCAAAATATGCTATTAATTATTTAATCAATAATATTAATTAAAGCTATATAGTTAGCTTAATATTATAGGTGAATGTTAGAAAAAAACATATATTCAATTAATAAGTGAAAGTCATATATAAACAAAACATAATTAAGAGACATCAGGCCGGTGTTATAATATTATGGGAATTATATGAGTACGTGTGAAGAATACAAGGAAAGAATGTATTCAGGTTAAACTAGGATTACAAACAGACGGTCAAAGACACACATATTATATATAGGTAATAAAATATATATATTACTTAAAGATATGTTTAATTTCATATATAAAACATAGTATTGTATTTTGATAATTCGATATTTTGTCAGCGATTTTATAATCAATAGATATTACGTATTTAAATGTGTTCACATCTCGTCTGCCCGTGATCACGGTTGCTGAAAAGTAACCGAAACGTCGGGAGTATGTAGTTTTTTATCAAAAATAAAGTCGCGTTGAAAAATATTAGTTTCATTTAATTTAATAAAACTCGCAAATGTCTTAGATCTCATTAAACGTTAGGTATATATATATAGATAATTTAGGTCTACTTTGTTATAAAGCTAATTTTTTTAAAATTAATATACATATGTTAGAAAAACAAATGAAAACGCCTCTTTGAAATATAAATTTTGTTATAGATAATCTATAATTTTGATAATTCTTCATATTTTCGTATACCAGGGCCCAGATGTGCGCCTCAATGTTTGACAGTCCAGTGAATGATCGCGTCGGTTTAAGATAACACTTTTATCAACAAATATTACAGATAACGGACACACGTCAAAAATATTATGACGTCTTTCGGATTTACACAGATTATTAATGTTTTTATAGGTTTATTCGGACTCTTTAGTTGCAAGTAATACATATTGGCATTTTAATTTAAACCATAGGCGATTTACAAATGTTTGACAATATAATTTTTTAAGTTGTGTTGTCTTTTTTTATAAACGGTACTAAAAGCCATCTTCTCAGGACCATTGCCATATTTTTTCTGCATTTTTATTGTTTTTTTTAATTAAAATAAAATCCATTTGGTTTCGATCTTCTAAAATAATTAATATCATGTAATTAAATATTTAACATATGTTTCTTTTAAGCTTTAAATGTTTTTTTTAATATAAGAAGAAAATCTTGACCAAGGCTAACCCTTTCCAGCCATACATCTATGTTAAAGTGTTTTACACACAATATTTTGTTTTTCGGCTCTTAAATACGAGAATCCGAACGAATTGAATCTCAACAGTAATTGCAGTGAGCTCTCGATGTATCGAATGCAATATATCGGCCAGCACTTAGCCGGTAATGGAAAGGTGCAGATTACTTTTAAAAACTGAAAAATTTTAAACTCAAGAACCTTTGCCTTTCGCATTTATTTAAAAATCTAACGAAACTTTTAAACAATAATCACATTCTGTACACCTTTCTACGTTATTTCGTTGTACATTATTGTCAAGTAAATTCGAGTGGCATGTAGTATTGTTTGTTTTTTGTCTCTCTCACTCACATGGAATAATTGTTTTTGTCTTTTTCTAGTGTGTCTCGAGAAAAATGTTGACGTTTCAAAATATTTATTCCGTTGCATTTTAAATGGCGAGGAAAATATGTAATTGGTAGCGTGAATAATATTTTGTTGCTTAAATGGTGGGTCAAAGTCTGCTCGCATATTTTATTATAGATTTGGAATTTTAAAAGAAATTTTCGTTGTAATGTTATTGTTCGTATATGTTCTTTAACTTAATATTTCTGTGGTTCTTTATGAAATAATTTTAGATTGACGTACCTTAAATCAATTAAATACCCTAAATCAAAACACGCGTCTGAAACAAACTTAAATGTTTTATATTTTCATTCAGATAATTTAGATTTTAAAAGTATCTTGTAAAATTTTCTAGCACACATTCATTTGCTCATCCAAAATTCTCAAAGCGATTTCAAAAGAGTGGACAAAATGGACTTTACCCTCACGTCTCAACAACAATATTTATTGTACTTTTTATTGTGAGCTTTAAATAATAATTATTAAGCCCTCCGGATGTTTAAAAAAATATATTAAAGTAATTACACTTTATAATAAAATAGTTACTTGGAAAGCGAAAAATCAACCGAACGGGGGATTTTAATTCATTAATTAGTTATATTTTAATTCATTAATTATTGTTTATATTTAAAATACGATGTTATTTTTCCTTCACACACGGTTATTTCTATATCTTCAACTGCAGTTTTTTTGCTGTGGGAATATTCTAACAACCCATCGCCGCCTCGCCCCCGGCGACAGATTTTAACGAGCGTCACTATACAACAAAAAAGATACGCATTCCAGTTAGAAAAAACGTCTTTGACCACGTTTAACTGTGATGTATTTGTTCTTTAAATGTTATTGAACATTATATATAAATATTATCATAGTCTTTAAAATATTCCTAAGTAGGTATACGAAATGATACATAAGTCCTAGTTTTCATAAAATATTTGTAAATCTTCACTAAGTATAATATAAGTGGAACCTTTTCGAATTAAGTCCTATATGTTTTCTCTCCCGGGATATTCCCCATATAACATTTTTTTTTGTCAAAAGATTTAATTCCCACGGAAGGTATCGTACGTCACAATATATTTCTACTACTGATTGGACTCTGCTGAATGATTTATTTTTAATTGAAAACGACACTGTAAATCATTTTTACGAAATATTTTATAATTTTTTCATGAATGTTGTTTAAAATTTAGAATTGTAGAAGTTTTATGGTTTATAAATAAGAGTTAACTTTGCTATTATACGAGTTCTCATGTTGATTTTCTACATACTTATTTGAATATAGTTTTCTTTATATTTATTTTAATATAATATATTTGTTTTCAGATCGACTACATTCATTTCAATGGGTGCCTCTAAGCGTTGTATTATTCTGTTAACTGTGTTACTGGCGTATGTGTCAGCTCAGGAGGTGGTACGAAGAGTTCCTCAAGGATTCCTTGGTATGAGAGGTAAGAAGTACTACGAGCTTGATGGACCCGATCAGTTATATAAACGTAAACCACAATTCTTCGTCGGAGTTAAAGGAAAGAAAGGTTTATACGATGATGTTGAGTACAAACGAGTCCCAATGGGCTTCGTCGGCATGAGAGGCAAAAAGGCATTGATATCCGATTTTATGAACTATCCAGAGAATTATGAATACGTACCAAAACGATCCGGGTCATTGATCGGTCAGATAGATTACTCTACCGACAACTTACCTGAGTATCCTGTTCTCAACGAGGTCATAGAGGAATACCTTCAGAAACTACGCGATGATAACACAGACATACAAACAGAGACATCTGATGAAGATGAGTCAGGAATATTTACTAACGAGGTTGAAAAACGTGCGAATATACACAAATTCTTCGGCGTCCGCGGCAAAAAGTCGGGACAAGCGAAAAGGCCGTACGACGTGTCGTTCAGAGGGAAATTTATAGGCGTGCGTGGGAAGAAAGATGTGAAAAACAGTGGACAGGAAGAATTTGAAGATAATGAGCCTTGGACAAAGAGGAGGCAGACTGGATTCATGGGAGTACGGGGCAAGAAGTGGGGCGACATTATAGGTAACGAAAACATTTATTATAACATTTTAGACTTAAAATAAAAATAATATAACCAGTGTGTTTTGGAGTTCAGATCACATGAATGAAGTAAAACTTCCTTTGCTCTGTCTATATGTATATGCATATACACATATTAATTTTGTACAAATATATGAATTCATTATGCGTTATATACTAAACTAAATATTCAATTTATTATAATTTTATCAAAACAATTTTTTGTCTATTCCAGATTCGGAGCCGAGTGATATGAATGTAACGAATTAAATTCGCCGTTTTAAATCTTGTATGAAGAAGTTAACGTTTAAACATATCGTAATGAGTATTGCAGCTCCTTCTAGTGTCATATAAGGCTTATCATAGCGTTCTAGAACATACTAGATCATTCTAGAACATTCTAGATAATTCTAGTCATATTTTTATTTCAAATAATTTATCGTAGGTGCAAATTGTATTAAATTGACATAGTCACTACTATTATATGTCTATATTTTCCTATATCTAGTCAATGCGATCTTCGTAGTTTGACTGCTCTATTTCCTGGTTCTAATACATTATTTGAGAGGTGTTATTAATGACTGTACGTTTCCTTCTAATATGTTCCTATACTATGATTATATTCAAATTATTGTTTATTGTTACTGAATCATTACTTCATCTCGTGGCTGGCGAAATGCTTATAATTAATTGTAATTAATAAAGTCGGTTGTCAATTTTATATTAGTTTTATTTAACCTGAACTTAGTGAAATGGTAGCAAATAATAAAATGGTTTAATAAATATTAATTTTGAATTACTACCCGTGTAATGTGGCGGGCTGCTGTAGTTGGAAATGTAAGTATGAATATATTGATTAATTAAAGACTCGAAGCAATAAGTATAAAAACGTAGAAATAGAAGTTATATTGGTCAATAATATTTTATAACAAGAAAGGCACTTGCTAAATTTAAATTACCAACCTACGCTCATTTTATTACCATATTTAATTTGTTTTGTTTATTTTCAATTATTTTAAATAGTATTTAAACATTTTTAATAATAATACAATCTAATACTTGTAGAAAGAAATCTTTAAAATACATTCTCTCATTGTTCAACTGCTATATATCCATCGTTAGGAAATTTATCGTTAGTTAGGAGTGAACGAGTTGAAGACGATCAAATGTACAAATTAATTGATAGTAATTAAAAAATGTTTACGAACGTACGATCCTTTATTGAGGAGTTTAATTAAACTTCTGTTTTATTTAAATTTAAAAGTCAGAAGAAAGACAGACAATATAGATCTTAAATATTGGACTTAAATTCAATTATTTAATAATATTTTATTAGTTTTATATATTTTATGGAGTCATATTAATTTTTTATTAAGTTTCTGGTGTTACCTGTGTATTTATTATATGATAATTTAAATTAGTTTTTCATATAAAAACTTAATAAATTGTTACAATTCGTATATTGTACAATGCAAAGCTCTCAACATCAAAATATCAATAACTATACTTTCGTTGTGTCCCTTTTAATTCACAAAGAAAATATTTTAAACTGATTTTATTTGGTCGACATTACTCCAGAGTGCAATATAACATAAAATAAAATACTATGAGTAGAGTATAGCTGAAATAAAAGAAATGAATGTATCCGTTAATTGTCTTACTTTACTGACTTCAAACGAGATAAAAATAACTTTACCTTTAACAGTTGAAAGATGAGCGTTTTACTTTAGTTTTTATCAGAGGTTCTCGAGGAAACTATTTAGTAAGTTTTAAAACTTATTTTTATCATCCTGATGGTAACCCATTATATTTTTTCCAATGTTCAAGAAGCTATGTTTAATTCTGGGTCTGTTTTTATATCACCTATAATTTGAATCCCAGCTCTAATTGAGGTAGATCTTTAAAATAGTCTTGAAAAATATATACATAATTTCCCATGTGTTTTCATTGAGTAATGAAAATTTATATTTATTTTTTACATTTCAGCAATATTTTTGTACTAAAAAGTCACTTTATAAGAGACCTAAGTATGAACATAATTCCTAACTCTTTCATAGAGTTAATATTATTTGATTATATTTTTCATCATATACAAAATATTTACAATTTAGTTTTCAGTTTCAGTTCCTATCTCATTCCTCTGTCCCGTCCAGGCAGTCTCTATGATTGTATTCTGTGGTTAATTTTAAATAAAATTTACACCAATTAGATAATTGTCACTACAAAACAAGCATCACAAGTGTTTTCCTGGATTTATTCAAAGTTTTGAATGTTTTTCAGTATTAATATATAAATAAATATCAATAGACTGTTAAATGAAAGTAATATTTTTAGGATAACTCGCGATGCAATACACTATTGTTTCCTTCGAAACCTATATATACAGTCAAAACCGTTTATAACGACATCGTTTACAACGACCTATCGGTTATTACAGCCAGATTGTATGGTCCCGTTCGAATTGCTAGTAAACTATTCAGTATACAAACCGCTTATAACAACATCGGATACAGCGACATATCGCTTAGAACGACGAAAATTTATCGATATTAATCGACTTTAACGACCAACCGCTCCTTGTCCTTACCCAGTTGCAAAGATCTACTGCTTTAGAACAAAAAATTGAGATAGAAGAATTTATTGGAATAGATAACAGTGTCGCGTTAGCGCCTTAGCTACTGAGGAAGAGATTCTTGCAGAAGCTAAAAGTAACAACCCTAACACTAAGGAACAACACGAAGACCAACAAGACCTTGCAGAATGGTTTCAGCCAACAATAATTTCCGAGGCTCTTAATGATGTAACAGTTTTGTAAAAAAAAATTGCCTTTAACGAACACGATACTCATACCTTAAGTATGAAATGTAAAATGCTAAAAATATTTGAGACTGTGCTAAAAAAAATAAATCTAAAATGACTGATTACTTTAAAAACTAGTGTAGTTTTTTATAACCCGTAACTGTAAGCAGCCAAGTACATACATTTTGTATTCTAATTATTTCGTAATAAATATTTTTATTTCTTTTCTAAATCGTTTACATAACCTATATCTATACTAGATAGATATGTGACTACATATGACAATATGTATAACTACTGTAGTTGTGTATATGACTATTGCTTATAACGACTATCGGATGTAACGTCGGATATATACGGTCCCTTCAATGTCGTTATAAACGGTTTTGACTGTGTATATATATATATATATACACAGTCAAAACTTATATATATTAGGTATATATATTGTCTTAGTATATTCAATATTCATGTCGTGTGTCGTCGTGTGGTCGAGGTAATATTCCCTTACTTATATCATATCCGGAGCTGGTTTGTACTGAATACATCGCTGAGACCGATCTGTTGAACACTTTGCATAAGTTAATCTCTGGTAACAGTGGGGCATACGTAACTGACTAATATGTATATTAAAATCATTACCACAAAGTTAAAGATCTTATTAAAAAAATTTGAACACTATTCTATTTCTTCTTCTTCTTCCTGGCAATTTCCCAGGTATAGGGTCTGCGTTACATGTTGAGAATATTTTTTTTTGGCTATTTGTTATTACGACCGGCCGCCTGCCTGACATCAACCCTCTTTTTGGGAATCAACATTAATCAGTGATGTCTAAATATTCTTAGAAGTACATATGATTCGGAAAATACACATTGCAATTTGCCCGGGTCAGGATCGAACCCGCGCCCTCTTGCATGAGAGGCGGGCCTTTTAACCGCTAGGCCACCACTGAATTGTCTTTTTAAAATATTATATATATTAGGTACCCGCCCCGGCTTCGCAGGGGTATCTTACAAAAATTATAAAATAGCCTATGTTGCAGATAATGCTTTGAGTACTTATTTTTGTGTTAAATGAAGACAAACAAAAAATTCATCATCTTTCTTCGTTAAACATAAAATAAGTTTGAATTTAGAAAAACGGTTTATTTATATGTTAATAATAGTATTTAATAAAGTTACAAAAATTTCCTATACAGCATTAATGTCGTGATCATGTGAAAAAATGAGCTATCGCATGGACTTAATTTTAAAAATTCAAATGTTACGTCCGAATTAAATAATTCAAAAAGTGATTTATAGATACTGATGTAGGCTTGAACACGAAGTACTTTATTTTGATAAGACTTATCCTATAATTATATAAATAGCTATTTTATAAACGCTTTATGAATGCGAATTGTTAAAAGTAGTACCTACCTAAACTAGATATAGTATGTTACCCTTATGAGACAGACATATGCCAACGCGTACTTTTCAATAGACCTATATAAAATACATAACTCCATCATACATTGTTTTGTGATATCTCTAAGGGTTTTGACTTTTGGTAGCGTTTTCGTAAAAAGCTTACAGACGGCTTATTTTTTCCCGACATCTTCAATAAATATCATACATACAAATCAATACAAAAACTTAACAAATTATATATTAAAACCATTTTCGAGGATCACGCTATTGATTAGTGAAAACCGCTTGATAGTTGCAGTAATTTTTCTGTTTATTGCGAACAGACAGACAGACGGACACGCCGGGGGACTTTATTTTATAGTATGTATATGCAGTATGTAATGATAAAATATACGAATAAGCTACTAATATTAAAATAAAATGAATATCAGAAATATTTAAGAATGAATAAAAATAAAGGTACTTAGAATATTAAGTAGAAGAAATAATTTTTAATTGTTTATTTAATATACTAAGTGACATCGACATATTTACACAATAGAGTAATAGTAATTATGAAGTGAAAAAACATAAATTTTAAGTTCCAAGATTTTGCTATACAAAACAGAAACGGACATTGGAATTGAAAGACATAGGCCAGTGCAGATGCCTTTAAAAACAATGAAATGTGAAAATAAATTATAGTAGAAAGAAACTCATTAGAAAAGGAGGGGAATATTATTAAAATTAAAGAAAAAATAATTTACGGGCGATCTGAAATCGGGAAGTGTATGGGGATGGGTATTTAAGGGTAAAAAACGGGTTTACTCGATTTCCGACAAAACCAAAAGTCCTACGAAAAAAATTTATATGGCAAAGTTGTAGGTAATAAAAAGATCTAAAACTTTTGTACTAACATTTTTTGCCACATAACCTCAAAACTTATGTGAAAAAATCAAAAAACCTAGTTTTTTGAATTTTATTTTTATCTCTTCCAAAAAACAACTTTTTGTCACGAAATTTGTTGAAAACTTTTCTTTTAATTTTCCAAATCCACTGTAATTTATTTGATTAGAAATATTTATTTTTTCAGCGTATTTTGAATAAATACCGAAAGATCAGACTCATTTTCAATCGAAAAATCACCCGTCAAAATATCAGCATTTTCAAAACTTTGATATGCTTTCTGTTCCTTGAAATCTCTTTTTTCCGATGGTGAATAATAAAATACAAGGTTCTTACTTACAGTATCATTTTTGGATAAAATAATCATGTCTCTTTTAATGAAATGACACTCGACATCGTTTGGAAAAGGCTCTTTCTAATTTATTTTTAATAGTTGTATACTCTGAAAGTTCTCCAGATAGTCCCTATTTTAGGTAATTTACAGAAAATTGACATAAAGCAGCTAAAACTCCCCGACCTCAAATCGCCCGTAAATTATTTTTCCTTTAATTTTTATTTTTTATTAGCCTTCTTTTCTAATGAGTTTCATTCTACTATAATTTAATTATGTTTTAAAAGCTATCGGCACTGGTCTAACATGTATAATAAAATGAAAGTAAAAATCTGTTAGTGCGTAGAAACTTATGATTATCATGAAGTAAGAACAAGTTACTTATCTTACACCTTCACCCAGCAGATACTTGTTTATTATTTTTATTGTTACAGTTGAACTAAAGATTTGTTTCTTTAAAAGATACAGTAATTTCAACCACAAGACGTAACTTCGAAAAAAAGGTGTACTAACAGCGCCATCTATTGAAATTCAATAAAAACCCACCGAGTGAATTAACATTCTATTAAAAAGTCTGAATGGAATAAAAGAAACATACCTTAAATATAAACACACATTTACAAAACAATAAATATGATTTTTTTTAGTGAAGGCACTAAAAAACAATGTGTTGGTAACTTTTTATACCTACAAAATTCAAACGAATTTTATTAATTGCGGTAATTTATATAAGAATCTGTCTTATAGTTTTATTATTTAATTTCAACATGTATTTATGTTCTGAACTCAATTCTGCAAGAAATAGACGTCCGATTATTTATATACTCCATGTAGAAATTCTGTCTGTGAAACCAGCATTTATAAGTAAAACATGTTACTAAAATAAAACTAACATTTTACGGATTGACTACGCATTTATGAAATTTGAACGAAGAAGCAAAATTTCTCGTAAATAAATATTAAACCAAATGGTCAGTTACACTTTAAAAAACAAATTCAAATGATAATATCAATAATATTATTATCATTGCATTAGCGTAGCGTTTAAGGAGCAATATACATAATGTATTTCCGAATCGACTGCAATCAGTACTGTGAAACATTGTATGAGAGGGTGAATTAGTAGTAAATAATAATAGCTCACACTTACCACGGAAGAATACTAGAGGATACTTTCAACTAACTATGATGGAGGAATATATAAAATTACTTAGGTTTATTTTTAATAATAAAATAATTCAAAATATCTCCACATCTGGCACTTTTAAAATTATAAAATGTGTCTATTCCTGCGCCTTAATCTAAGAAATTAAACATATTCTTCGAGATAGTTTCAGATTTGATTCATAATGTCACCGTTTCTTATCAGTAAAGTCCTACAAAATGACTGAATCCAGTACTTTTGGTTTTCAATACAAGTTGATACTTTAATTTTGCCATTACAATATTATAGGAGTCATAAAAATTATTCTAAGAATTATAGTATATTATAATTAGAAAGGCACAGATGGCGCCACTTGTAACATTATATAACCAAGGGTCACAAATAAAACAACACGATAAATTTCATAATATTTTTTATTAAAACTTTCTCCTTATAAATCCATCGATTGCTAACATAATAAAGAATAGATCGTACATAGAAGCCATGTCTGTGATATAAACACATACTTTATAAGAACAGGGACAGCTACACACACGCGCCGCTGTCTTGGAACTACTAATCTATATTGAATATTGGATATGCATTATTTTCAAAAATTATAAATACAAGGTAACAGAAAACACGTACATATTGTACCAAAAAATATATATATTATTATAATCATCAAAATGGCGTCGTACATTAATGATACAACAACTATGAAATGAATAGCTCCGGATGTCAGACTCATTATTATTAATATACATGATTCATTTATAGAAAAATATGATTAGCAAAACAAAGATATCTACAAGCGGAATTATAACATGATTTACAACATGACGCACGAAAAGCAAGCGGGCGGTACTGAACAAATAACTTGATACAAAATAATATGGAATAAAAAAAGGAATATCCCGGAAATAATGGACTGAAGATATACCGGGACTAAGAAAATAGGACTATTCAAACATTGGACAATATCTTCAAACATTTATAGGCGAATATAAAAGACATTTGATTACAACAAGCTAACTACTTATATTGCATAGTTTTCTGCATGTCCGTGTGTTGGAATTAATTCTTTAGACAAAACAAAATATTCAGTTCGTTAATCGACAGCTTTTATGGAAATTTCGTATTAAATAGATGAGATTGACTAAAAAATTAATACCACATTGCTTAATCATTTCAAATTTGATATCTTTCTTCCTAAACTGTTGACGCGGTGTCTCAACTGAACAAAAATAAATCGCAAATTCTGTCACAATAATAAAATTTCATTTTAATCTTTTTACTTTTCACCGAAAAACATATTTAATGTTAATCAAGTTATGAAATCAACATATCCGACATATCTGTAATGTCTGTTTATCTTATAATGTTATAGATTAATTAAAGAAATATTAATAATATTAATGTTACATTTTTTCTGCTCGTTTCTTTTGGTAAATTTTGTTTAAAACGAACCGTAACTTCATTCACTTAAATGTCAAAATCGTTTCCATCGCACGGGTTTAACACCGATCGAGTACTTCACTAGCCGAGGAAAACGCGCGGGAAAGTTTATAGCCGAATCATTATTATCGATAAAAAAAAAAACATCACAATAAATAGAACTTATTTTAAATAATTATTGTAACACTGTACAACACAGCGCCCTCTATACACAACCTATATGAACATTCATGTATTCAATTTATTATTATAACCGGATGCCCCCTCCTTTCTATAATCCTAACTACGTGAATTATTTTTTTTCCATTTAATATTAATATATATCCTCACGAGTTCAAGCGGTGATTATGTATCGCTTAAGATTAGCAAAAAAAAAAGACAATAAAGCATTTAAATTTTATAAGAATCGTAGATCCGCGATATAAATGCAATTAGTTAATAATAATTATTATTATTATAGTTATAACATGTGCCGGTCTGATATCATACTCAGTAAGGATCCTCCGTCTCGCTCTGACGTGAGACACACACTATCTCCCTCTCACTCACACACAGACGTCACCATTCTCAGTACATATTGGCTAAGACCGTGGTCTATCCCTAGCCCGGGATTAAATATTACATAATCATTTTTTGTACTTTCCATTGAAATCATATTTCATTAGCACCATAACGAACGAACGGGTTATAAAGGCACCGCGCGGAAACTTCACATCAATTGCATTGAAACATTATATAACATTATTGTTTTGATACGTTCAAGATAATGAACGTGGAATTCGTACTATTCGGCTAGCCAATATGGTTGAGAGGCCATTCTATTTTGCACCTTATTCCCCAGTAATTAGATCGCGTTCTGCAGTGTCAGCGGGTGGTTGTGTCCGTGTCCGTTGTGCGTGGTGTAGTCGTCGGCCATTCTCTCCGTCTGTATGAAAGTTGCCGACATTTGGCCGACGCTCGTGTTACCGTTGTTGGTGTCCAGTGTCGGCGTGTTGTCGATTGTCTTCGTCGGTGTCTGCTCCTCCGGTTTGTCCACCGTCTGGAATGTATTAAATTAATATTAATTATTGTTGACTTAAATGTTCGACGATATGGACCGGTTTAATATTTTAATATACAACTTCTGATTGAAGTTTTAATGTCAACAAGATATATATAAGCAAGTGGTAAATATTTGATTATATTATATATAAGCAGAACCATCATTTTAAAATATTAGGAGTACAAATAAGTTTCTTCCGTTTTATTGTAGATGGCGGGGCACCGAGTTTCGGTTATTTTTTGCAGGTGATAACCGGCTTCAAAAATAGTTTGGACATTCAAGAACAACATAACCTATTAATATCATTGATTTTATAATGGTAAAATATAAGTTTTATAAGTTGAATTCATAAACAAGGAAATTGGGTTCCGCACGAATTAAAGCCGAGAGATATTGAACGCTGATTATGCTTAAGTGAAATGCTGCTAGTTAGACATGAAAAAAGGGTTTTTTACATCGTATCGTAACTGGTGATGCGAAGTGGATACATTATGACAATCCAAAAAGAAGAAAATCATGGGGATTACCTGGCCACGCGTCAACAACAACAGCAAAGCCGGATATTCACGGAAGAAAATTTATGCTGTGTATTTGGTGGTATCAACTAGGTGTAGTGTATTATGAGTTGCTTAATCCGAGCGAAACAATTACTGGAGCCCTCTATCGAACACAATTGATGAGATTGAGCTGAGCTCTGAAGGAAAAACGCCCTCAATACTATTCTAGACACGAAAAAATTATTCTTCTGCATGACAATGCTCGTCCACATGTTGCGGCTCCCGTGAAAAAGTACTTGGAAACAACTCACATCTCGTCTGCCCGTGATCACGGTTGCTGAAAAGTAGCCGAAACGTTGGGAGTATGTAGTTTCTAAAATAAAACGCGAAGTAAAATCCGAAAATATTAGTTTCATTTAAATGTGTACTCGCGAAAATCTTAGATCTCATTACTTGGAAACACTTGATTGGGAAGTGTTACCCACATCTTATGCGGATACCGAAAATTGTGTTGATTCGTGAATAGCCTCAAAAGACAAGGAGTTCTTCAGACAAAAGATTCGAATGCTGCCTGAGAGATGAGGAAAAGTGGTTGCAAGTTATGGGCAATAATTTAAATGAATTCATATTACCGTTCTTCTATAATAAATATTTGTGTTAAAAAACGGCTGAAACTTATTTGTACTCCTGTATATTAAACCAGACAAAGTCGCCACATTGAAAAATAAATTATTAAATATATATTCAATATACAATCATTTTTTTCTCAAATTTAGATAGAACTAAGTAAATTATAGTCACCCTACACACAGTTATCTAAACACTTCATAGAAACGAAAATTAATGGAAACGAAAATGAATCGTAAGTCAGGGTATTAAGATTTTTAAAATAAAATATTTAATTAGTAATCATAATTCAATTAAAGAAAACTGATACTTATTTCAAGGCTAAAATAGTATTTAAAAATAACTACGCACGCAACACCATAGCGACAACCGGCACACAGCAAGGTCACTACAGTGCATAAAAGAAAGCCGCGTAATACAAAAATTATTACTTTCTCCTTCTTTCTTCGGCTTAATAACATTACAATAGAGCGAGACGGCAGGCTCATCCTGGCAATCAGAGTAATAATAACTAAACATCGAAGTCAACAATATGTGTTTTGGGTAAGTTAGTCACGCCGCGTCCACCTTATCGAAAAGAGGTCAAGTGTCAAGTGCAAATAAAATCTTAGTCGCGCATTTCGCTGTGTCGTTTCGTTACACTAACATTCAATACATCAAATACCTACGCACGTGTCCATTGACCTCCTAGATCAGCTGATTTGACGCGACTCGACTTTTTTTTGTGGGGGCGAATTAAATCGCTAGTTAATAACACAGAGATAACAAGTGCCGTGGAACTAAAAAATAAGATAATAACCGTCTTTGTAAAAGTGAAAAGTGACATTGCAGTATTATCTAAAATAAAACCACAATTGCGAAAACGGTCATTAAAGTGCATTGAACAATGCGGTGGACATTTTGAAAATGTTTTAAAACGACAACGCCGTGCGAGTGCAAATTAAACTGTAAGTTTGTTTATGATCTTTAAATTATTGTAAATATTTTGATACACACCATTTAAACAGGCCGACTGTTTTAACTTTGTCGTAGGTATTGTGGTGTCTAATCAAATCACGCGTTATCAGCTGTTTAATAATTCTTATTTACAAATTTAATTTAACAAATCAGTAATTATAAAAATATTGGCTTCACATTAAAAAGAAAATTCAATGTCAACAATCTAAAGCTTGAAAAGTGTGATGGAAAGAAAAATCATAATGTATGTAGTTATTTCGTGTACTTATATTACCTACTGCTTATTATTGTCGGACGGCACTCGGAGAGAGGGGCGCGGGCGCGGCGAGTACATTGTGTCTGACCATATTATTTGCACGAAATTGGGATAACTAATTTCACAAATAAAAAATGCAAACGCACATATAAATAATATTTGGTGTATGCATTGCGTTTATATTATTATATTCGCATTGGGGTATTTGAGGGTGTGCGTTAATTACGTTACACGTTGTATATACTCACTTCTATTTCCGTGGACAAGCCGAGCAGGTCAGCCACGTTCCCGTTGTTGGTCGGAGCTACGGACGGACACACGTTCTGAAACATACCGTTATAACATATTACATAAAAACCAAGTGTTCACAATAGAAAATTATTAGGAATCTTCGAAATAGTTTTGATACAAACTAAATGTAAACTAAAATCGATATAATATTTCTACTCACATGACTACCAACACTCAAAATCTCTCCCCGCTCCAAGTTTCCATTACTGCTGTCATTGTTGGCAAAACTTCCCCCACTTTCCTCACTCGTATTATTTTTCTCAATGTTTCCTACATTAACACTACCCATACCCATTTCATCTCTTGATTTTTCGCTTCCATCTTTATTTGGTATAATTGCACTCGTTACACTTTCATTTGGTATCACTTTCATTTCTTGACTTTCATTCACACTTGATACACTTTCTTGCGTCACACTTATGTTAACATTCTCCTGTGTTATACTTGTGTTAACTTTCTCTTGTGTTATACTTGTGTTAACATTCTCTTGTGTTATACTTTTGTTAACATTTTCCTGTGTTACACTCGAGTTAACATTCTCCTGTGTAACACTTGTGTTAATGCTCTCCTTCGTTACACTTGTGTTAACATCGTCTTGTGTTACACTTGTGTTAACTTTTTCCTGTGTACTAGTGTTGTTCGACACACCATTAGTCTGTTGGTTTTGTTGCAGTTTCAATTCTTGCTGCTTCTTATCTTCCTCTGCTTGCTGTAAATTTTATTGAACATTAAAATCAATTGATTGTCTTAGAAACTGAGAAATTTCTTATTAATTATGAAAGTAAGTGTTGCTGAGTATGATAAAATATTACATAACCTTCCATCGCTAATTCGAAATTTTTCCAGACGCAACTCTTAATTTTAAATCAGATGTTCTGTCTAAAGGTAAATAGCATTACATTCAATAATGAATAAAAATCCTTACATAACCTTCTATCACTAATTCGAATTTTTTCCAGACGCGACTCAAAAACCCTCAATTTTTAATCACATGTTCTGTCTAAAGGTAAATATGTAGAATTACATTCAATAATGAATAAAAAACCCTTCCAAATAACACAAACAACAGTCACAATGTTATTATATACACAAACACAGTCAGAGTCAGTGGTGGCCTAGTGGTTAAAAGACCCGCCTCTCGTTGCCGAGGGCGCGGGTTCGATCCTGGCCCGGGCAAGTGCCAATGTGATTTTTCCGAATTATATGTACTTTCTTAGACTATTTAGACATCACTGAATAATGTTGATTCCCAAAAGACGGTTGATGTCAGGCAGGCGGCCGGTCATGAAAAGAAATAGCCACACACTAGTCTCCCTACCTTCTTGAGTCTAGTCCGCGCCATGATAGCCTCCACTCTCTGTTTCCGAGCCAGCCTCTCCCTCTCGTCCCTCTCGGCCTCCAACAGGCGACTCCTCTCCGCCTCCTCGGCCGCCCTCCTCCTCTCCTCCTCCTCCCTCGCTCGGGCAGCCTTTTCCTCCTCCTCCCTTATCCTCCTCTGCTGCTCCTCGCGTTCTAACTGCTGCTGCGCCTGGAAATATTCACGTTCTATTAGAATAGTTTCTATGAACTTGAAAATAGAGGACAATAATAGCATCTTCTATATATATAAAAATGGATTGCTGTTCCTTAGTCTCGCTAAAACTCGAGAACGGCTAAACCGATTTGGCTAATTTTAGACTTGAAATACTCCTGGAAGTCCAGTTAAGGTGTAAAAGATGAGAAAAATTGATTCATTACTGGGAAAACCATAAAAACAGCCCTTTTCTATGTCCCATACAAAAGTTTTTTTTGACATTAGATTTGACAACTAATAAATATGTCAATTCTGTTTGATTGAAACAGGAAAAACCTGATTATTTATGGCCTGTAAGACGGAATAGAGTTCGACTGGTCAGCTACACCTACATATATTACTCTTGAGCAAACTAACGCGGACGAAGTCGCGGGCAAAACTAGTCAACTATAATAATTTAACAGCTTTATGACGTATAAGAAGACAGTTATTACACTATTCAGAGTATTTTAAATGGCTGTTTATATAGAACTTGGTATATTTTGTACATTTAAATTACTAATTGTCATTTATTATTCTTTCTTTTTATTTTATTTATATTACATTGTAATACTGCAGCAGTATTTAAAATTATCGATCAGTGTATATTCATCAACCAACATAATGATTATAATAATAATAAAAAAATGCTAGTTCTTTTTTGACATCAAAATGTGTCGTTTTCAACTGACTTCATATAAATATAAGACATGTATGTACATGTGTGTATGTACGCATGTGTGTGCATCTATGTATGTGAGTGTGTATGTTGTACAGTGCGTTTGATTTAAGCTGAGCTTTGCATTTGTGTGAGTGCACAAGGATAGTGTAGGTGTGATGTCAAATTTTTGAATACAACGTTCTTTTCTAGTTTTGAATCGGTTTATTCTGCTTTTACTCCGCCCCGCACCTTCCTCACTTCACCTTTTGTACTGGTAGCAAAATCAAATGTTGAAAACGCAATGTCAAATGAATAAGAATTTGTATAGTTTTTTCAAAATTTTATTAATCAATAAATTTTTTGCCATAGTATTCATAATATTTCCATCTGGCCTTTTACAAGTTTTGCTTATTTTATAGCACTTACAATGTGTATCAATTTAAAATATAATAAAATTTTATTCTAAAAGTCTAACTCTACATTTACTTTCTCTCACACAAATGCAAAGCTCAGCTTAAGTCTAACGGACTATATGTGTATGTGTATGTATCTACGTGTGTATCTATCTGTGTGTGTGTATATATCACCTCTATAGCCTTCCTCAGTTTCTCTCCCTCCATAGCTCTCTGCAGCGCGGCCAGCTCCCTCGCCTCCTCCTCCTCCCTCCTCTGCCTCTCCTCCTCCTGTCTCTGTCTCTCCGCCTCCTCCTCGGCCTCGCGCTGCAATCTACAATACATAATGAATCAATATAAATTATAAAATGTATTTGTGTCAAACTAATGATAATTACTGTTTGATTCATTTTGAAGAGTTTATACTTCACATTATTGACAAGTAATGACTAATGTTATGAATTATTACAAATTTCAACTAATTTAAATTATTTTCAGAGATGAACAAAATTTTTAAGTAGTAGTAGCCTAAAAACTGTTGAATGGATATTAATGTAGCATATAGCTAATGCCTTTACCCCATCCTAGCTGTAACGGTAATATATGGGAACAATTGTATTGTATATGAATTCCCCTGTCATAGTTTGCTAAAGCTAGTATAGTATATATAATAATCAGTGGTGGCCTAGTGGTTAAAGGACCCGCCTCTCGTTGCCGAGGGCGCGGGTTCGATCCTGGCTCGGGCAAGTACCAATGTGATTTTTCCGAGTCATATGTACTTTCTAAGACTATTTAGACATCACTGATTAATGTTGATTCCCAAAAGAGGGTTCATGTCAGGCAGGCGGCCGGTCGTAAAAACCAATAGCCAAAACTATACACAACATGTAAATCAGTCCCTGGCTATAGCTGGGAAATTGCCAGGTAGAAGAGAGTATAGTATATATAATAGTAAGTATGTATACCTCTGTCGTTCAAGCTCGGCCTGCCTCTCCAGTTCTTCGCGGGCCCGCCGTCGTCTCTCAGCTAGGGCCGCCTTCGCCTCCTCCTCCGTAGTGATGCGACGAGATATCATGGAAGCTATCGATACAAATATACATGAATATATATATGTATTACAATACTTATATATAGTACACATCTTGCTTCAGAATACATAATATTATTAAATAAAATTTTAAATGAATAATAAATACCCATCTAAATTAGCTCCCATATTTTCTTCAATACACACATTTTTTTAATCACTTATTTGAATATGGCTCTGAATCCAAAAATAGAGTCCTTACATAATACATAGCTTTATTTATCGAGAAATGAAAGTATAGTTTGGTATACACTAGAAATATTATATTACTTGAAATTTTTTATACTCTTATATGCCACTTATTAAATCGGTAAGGCAGTTTCATTTAAAAATGCACACGAGAAAGTGTTATACTAAATCATTTAAATAAAAATGACAAAGACAGTTATTTATATGTCTTTGGAAAGAAAAAAAGGACAAAGTTTATTCTGCAAACAAAAATTAAAAAAAGAAACTGTGAGTAATTTTCTTCTGGCTTTAAAAGCAATCTACTAAAATAACTAATAAACAGAATTAATACTGCACTTCACATTTTTCACTATTTCATTTGAATGAAAATAAGGTAAAGTTTTAGTTAGAATGTAAAAGTAAATCCTCATTGATGTTAGATGAAACATCTCAAAATAACAAATGGTCAACAAGAAATATACATTCTAGTCTCTATGATTACCTTTCTAAAAAATCTTTGTGTTGCTATTTTTTTGTAGGCCGATAAAAATCCCATAATTCAATTTAGCAGCACATAATTTTAGAAAAACTCTCAATTTAAAATTCCTTTGAGAATTTTACGTATGCTTTGATAAAATTATCAAATAATAAAAGAATAATGACTTAAAATAACTTCTTTGTTGTTTAATGAAGAAAGTTTTTATTTGTCTTTATTTTCTGCCTTGTGATATCCAAACTGCTAGTATTTTAGTCCAATATTTCACAAAAATACCAATTATAATTTGTGTGTATCAATCCATCAAACTTTATAGGTGAATTCTTTATGAAAAATTCTGAAGAAAACTAACTAGTTATGTTTTTTTCTCTTCCACATATTAGAACACTCATAACCTTTATAATAATGAACAACGAACCAAGGTCAAACCTTTACTAACCAGTAATAAGAAATAATGAGATCTAAGATTTTCGCGAGTACTCATTTAAATGAAACTAATATTTTCGGATTTTACTTCGCGTTTTATTTTTGATTAGAAACTACATACTCGTACTACATACATCACGGGCACACGAGATCGTCTGCCCGTGATCACGGTTGCTGAAAAGTAACCGAAAAGTAAACGAAACCGAAGTACGGAGTATGTAGTGTATAATGTAGTATATAAGGAATAGTTAATCGAGTATCTGAAGATACATCCAGTATCAGAATGTATGTAATTATAAACCGTATTTCAAACTGCATACAGTTCATTATAGTGTATGTCATCTCACCAGTCATTTCATTGTCCTCAGTCTTTTCCTGTGACGGCTCCTTCTTTTCCTTCTTCTCTTCTCTCTCCTCCTTCTTTTCCTTTTTCTCTTCTTTATCTTCTGTCATCTTCTCCGGCTTATGTACGTCCATCTTTTCTTTCTGTTCAATATATTGTTCGTTATTCGTTACATGCTTATTTTCTATGATTTTGTTGTCGCTTGTTTGCTGTAATTGAAATTGAAAGAATATATAATATTATACTTTATAATATTAAAACTACACTTTGTATAAAGCTAGTTTCTAAGGTACTTTATTGGTATTTCAAACCTTATGACGTTAGTATTATAATTTGTAGATAACAATACAAAATCGTTATTACACAAGTTTTAATTTTCAATAGTAGTTAATCCGAGTGCATCACATGCTACATAATATACTTTAATTTAATCATTTTTTCTTCTGACACATGTTTGAAGTACTTAATTTTTATATGTACGTTTTTTTGCTTTATTTGTATTCTCTTTCTGTATGTATTGTTGATAATAATAAAATAATTATATTTCCATCTATGTTCATATTTATTTTGTATCATTTTACATTCATCAAAGCCTAAATTAGTTCAGCTAAAAGGTAACACGACATTTATTGACTGTCAGTCGGTAGGAAGTTCGGGTCAGCTAGTATATAGTAGGGGAGCCCAAGCGGGGATTTCGGGATTTACTAAAGCGCGGCAGATAAATACACAGGGGGATACCTTGTACCCAGTTAAGTACCTCCACAAAACATGAGGCCCATATATAAGGCCGCCCGGTGAAGGATACAGGATCAGATTAGTAAAAAAAAATTGACCATCAGAAATTCTAGAGCGCGTCAGATTAAGGTAGGATGAGTTAATAACACCCTAAAAAGTGTATATTCCAATAATCTGACAATTTGAGAGTGACGTAAAAAAGGGGAGGGTAACAAAGTTGTAAAAACAAACGTCATCCCGACATTCTCGAGCGTAGCTAAATATTTTTTTTATTTTGAAGGAAATATTTCAAGAATAATGGAAAATATATAATCTAACGATTTCCACAAGCCGAAATAACTAAAATTCGTCGATAAAGTTAAATGCGTGCAGCTGCATGATGCCTACATTTCCTTCTCCGCGTTTCTATTCCTCTCTTACTCTTTCTCTATCTATTACTCTCTCACTCACCGAAATTTGTGGTTCAATCAATTAAAATTGCAAAATTACTTATGAGGATGATAAAACTGCGTCGAATGCCGCCAACCGTGTGAAAATCGTTTGATCCATTCATATTTTATTGCGGTTTGAAAATTCCAAAAATAGTGTTCTATGAAACTTCTATCAGACTTTCGAATCAGAAATATTATTTCTTTGAACTCAGCGAGATCAAAATATCACATAAATTATATTTTGAGCTCAAAAATGTCATAAGTACAATTTTAAGCGCCCAGGATTGGAATTAGCGAGAAGTTGCAGGGATGGCCTTTAAGGTGAACCGTTTTTCTAATTTTTTTTTGTCAGATTAGGCGAATCCCTCTACATAATCGTCAGATTATGAAACAGTACGTTTAGAATATAAATATTAACCATATATATCTTAATCTGACGCGCTTGAGTATTTCAAAATGGCGATTTTTTTGCACATTATGAAAATGGCCGCGAGTTTGCGTCCCATCGAAATCGTCAGATTAGTGAATGAGAGCTTTTTTTGGTGCACTTAACACTCCCTTAGAAAATCTGACGCGCTCGACAATTTTTTTTTTACATTTTTAACCCTTAAATACAACCACCCGCATCATGCAGACGATCAGATTAACATACGTACATTATTAAAAATACGTAGGGCATTGATGCTATCAATATCTGACGCGCTCGAGGATGTCCATGCAACAGTTTTTTTTACATATTTAAAAATCTATAGCCGCTTCCCCCACCGATGTAAAAGTATATATCATATAACATATTTTTCTTCTTATCATCTAGCTTTGCATCTCAATAGATCTCTACGACGCTCGAGTAAATCCCCATTTAGCCTCGTGGGCTCCCCTACTAATATATACGAGTATATTTCTTCGATAGTTATTTCTATATATAATCCATATATAGTATATAATACCTGTGAATCAATCCTCAAGGCCTCCAGTTTCTGCGTCACCTCCAACGCGTTCACCACACTCTTATCACCGCCCACGCTCTGTTAACGTAATAATATTTGTATTAAACATTTGTCATTAATAAAGTATGGCTATGTTAATGTATTAATGACTAAGTGATAGTTACTGTAATAAAATTCCGGGTAAAATCTTATCTTGGTCATGTGTCTTTAACTAACTTGTCAGTTTCATAATTATAATTAATATCCGTGTTTAAAACTTTTGTATATAGGATAACTTTAATACAAGCATGTAATATGAAATATCACAAAGGAATATGATCGAATGTTCTAAGTACAAATATATTTTTATCATATCTCGTCTGTATAGACTATAGATGTATGTATATATAGTTTATCATTAATGAATTCTTTCTATGTGTATTTACCTTCGTCATAATATCCTTGTCCGCTGGCTCCTTGGACGGAGACAAGCCTCGCCCCGGTGATATCGACATGGACTTGCGATTCTGAAATTAATAAATAATACATACATTATTATTAATATTCTATACAAGGTAGAAAATAATATAAAGGAACCATGGAACAAAATAAGATTAAAGAAATCGTGATATGGAGATTATTTTAATAATATAAATAAATTATATTACATACTTCATTATACCTTACTATTGTATAATCATTCATTATATGCTAGCCATAACCCCGACTTCGTCATTACGTTTAATAATTTTTGTTATTAGTTATATCAATGATGATAATTACAATGTGGCGTTAAAGAATCACAAGCTATATCAGATATTATCCGGAACAAACAGACAGATGAAGACTTTTAATAATAATATTAGTCATAATAGATTACCTAATATACCAATTGACCGGTACACTTCTTCTTCTACCTGGCAATTTCCCAGCTTAAGCCAGGGTCTGCCTTACATGTTTGTTAATAGTTTTGGCTAATTGTTTTTACAACCGGCCGCCTGCCTGACATCAACCCTCTTTGGGAATGCGTTAATCAGTGATGTCTAAATATTCTTAGAAAGTGCATATGACTCGGAAAAATAACATTGGTACTTGCCACGACCAGGATCGAACCCGCGCACTCGTGCATGGCCTTTAATCCACATGGCCACTCGGGCCCTTTAACCACTAGGCCACCACAGACTTCTACTATCATGTATATATGTTTCCATAATATGTATAGAGTGTTTACCTTTTCATGTTCTTTGGATGGCTTTGGCTTTCTATGTAGCGGCGGCTTGCCCTCGCCCGGAGCTGTCGGGGTGGATGGAACTGACGAACAGACATACATATATGAATATAAGTATATTGAATTAGTTTATATGACAAATATATCACCGAGTCCTAGACAGGGCAGGATATGTTAATGTTATATTAAAAAAGCAGCTCTTTATAACATGTGAAAGTAATTCATTACAGTTTTTCACGACAAACACGTATAATAAAATAATAATAACAATGACAGCACGAAACGAGTAAGTTTTTGTTCGACGTCCACTTATAGACTACGATATATCGTATACATGTGTTATGAAAATAAAAACAGTACATAAGGCTCTATTTAGTCGGAATACTGGACAATTTATATTAGATTACAATAACTTTGTTATTAAAACGAAAACAGCACATACATAAGACAGAGCCTTAGTAATCCCACTAATATTATATTTGCAAAAGTTTGTGAATGTGTGTATGTTTGTTACTTCTTCACGCTCAAACGGCTGAACTGATTCTGATAAAGTTTTGTATACAGGAAGCTGACGTCCAGGAATAAAACATAGGCTACTTTACATCCCGGAAATCCGCGGGTAACACCGCGGGGCTCAGCTAGTAGATAATATATGTGTTTTTTACCGTTCTTGACGGGCGCGTGTAGTGACAGCGGCCGTGGCCTGCGTGGCGCGGCGGGGCGGGACACTACTGTGGCGTCCCGGGACACAGACGGGGTCGTGGACGCACTGTTGACGCCCGTGTCCGCTCCTGGAGGGAGGGGGGGGGGAAGTATAGTAGATATAGTTATACTGTAGTGTTAACGTGTGTGTGTGTGTGAGCACGATGTATAGTATAATGTGTGTGCAGTGCCGTAGCTAGGGCGGTGCCAGCAGTGCCCAGCAGGGAACAGAAATGACCAGACTAGTATTTAGTTTTATCTCATGCATGGTAGCTATATACTTATATACTTTGGTAAACAACAAATAGATAGATTTATTTGAATGCACATTTGTCCATTTTGTTTTTAGAGCCTGGTTAGAGCATTTTTCAGGGGCGCAGTTTTGAAAGCTCGCACCGGATGCATAAAAGCCTAGTTACAACACTGTGTGTGTGTGTGTGTGTGATATTTAATATTAACGTTTAACGTAAACTATACTAACATGTAGTACACTTAGATCGCTGTACAGTTTTTGAACATAATAAACGGCAGTCAGGATGAAATACAATTGTGCACTACAATGGAAATGTCTAAAGACATTGTGTTATTGTGTTGTGTATGTTTAGTTGTGCTACGTTTTGTTATTATTTCCAGACATTAAGCACATTGATTAAATGAAATATATAGAACTAATTCAAATTTTCAAAAGAAAAGAAAACAAGTAATGATTCAGTCAAATAAATCATTTGGTGATTTATTTGACTGAATCATTACTGGTTTTCTTATAATATAGTTCAAATATGAAGATATTTTCTTTTAATACTACGTACACACACCCACTCATACCAGTACGCTTATGTATTTATAGACTAAATAAGAAAAACATCTCATTTATACTTATTATGAAAAAGACAGTGTCATACAAAACTAAATCCAAAAAAACGTTCATAAAAATCAATTTACTTTACGTAACAATGAAAGCATATTCATATCGTCGGGGATAGTGCAAATCCTCGTAACTAGCATTGGATAATTCCGCGTAAATACATTGGAAGCAGTTAATCAGAAGAAAGTTTCAGCTGAAATATCTTCTTAATCAACGACTAAATTTTTTTTCAAAATTAAAAAATAATTATTTATTTAGATTTGCACTATACCCGACGGTATACGGTTACAATATCAACAACCTACATATCCGCTTCAAAAGTGGTCCTTATCAACACGTGATAGAGTATATTTTACCTCGTGGCGTGTTAACACCCGTACCGGCTATCGATGCGGGGCGCGGCTTGCGGGGGGCGGAGGACGCTCGCCTCAGCACCGGGCCCGCCGAGGACAGCGAGCTGCCGGGGCGGGACGGGGTCGTGTCCCCTGACCGGGTCTCTGCGGAGAGGTCAAAGGTCAAGTCAGATACATACAGCGACACCTAGCTGCAAGACGCTGGTACTAATATAATGAAGGCAATCATATCGTATACATTGCTCTGATGTCATTAAGTTTGATAGATATTGAAGAACAATAATACAGGTTACATACAGACATCTAGCGTCGACACGCTGGTATAATCCGTTAGACTTAAGCTGAGCTTTGCATTTGTGTGAGTGAAAGTAAATGTAGAGTTAGACAAAAATGTTTTAAAATTAAATTTAATTATATTTTAAATAGATACATAAGTGCTACAAAATAAGCAAAACTTGTAAGTCCAGGTGGAAATATTATAAATATGGTGGAGAAAAAATTATTGATTAATAAGAATTTTTAAAAAAACTATACAAATTCTTATTCGCTTGACATTGCGTTTTCAACATTTGATGTTGCTACCAGTACAAAAGGTGGAGTGAGGAAGGTGCGGGGCGGAGTAAAAGCAGAGCACACCGGTTTAAAACTAGAAAAGAATGTTGTATTCAAAAATTTGACATCACACACTATCCGTGTACACTCTCACACAAATGCAAAGCTCAGCTTAATTCAAACGCACTATACTAATATAATGAAGGAAATAACACCATATATATTGCTCTGATATATTATTAGGAAGATTCATAGACATTAAAGAACAATAAACATACATACGTCATGACAAACTTGAATTTTATATGTTAGTAACATAGGTCACTGATACAAAATATCAGTGTAAACATTTTATTTAATACATACAGCGGGTTATACAAGTTTAGTTTTATAGTTTTTCGGTTTTAACTAATCATTTAGTCACCAAATTAGTTTCCACTTACCTCGAGACAGAAGAATATCCGCAACCGGGTTAAGATAAAGCGGTTTACAGGATGTTACAGAATTAACAAAATATATAGACTAATATTTGTCTATTGTAACACCCTGTATAAAGAAACATATATTTACCTTATACGGAGATTTTCTTTGAATATTTGATAGTCTGTTATCAGTGGAGCACATTGAACAGGAAAATTAATTTTAATTTAGCTCAACAAGTACACAGTGCATAGCTTCATTAGCACATTTATTTAACCCCTCTTTTCATTTTCAATTAAATATATATCTCTGACTACTTTTGCGTTAATTACAATTTTAGGAATAATTACTGGCTAAAGCGTCACACAAAAAAGCACCAAAACTTCATCAATTCCTATCGGATAAGTTCATTTTCTTTGTACTAATTTATTTTTTCAAGCACACTATAGTCAAGTCTCATTTAAGCATCTCAAAGCGTGAAGCATCCCTCACCAGCCCAGCGTCTCCCTGCAAGCTCCTTATAATAATAATTAGTGGCGTGGTATGGTTTACAGTCAGTATATATATAGGACTCAATGTTAGACTGTTCGAGTTTACGTTAAAAGAAAGCAAGGGTCAAAAGTCAGCTATTTATGTCACACATTTATAGTCAGATATATATACAGGGTGACTGGTGAATTACTATCAATATTTAAGGAGCACACTCGGTACATGATTCTCATTCGAATTATGTATAAAAAATAGGTACTTAATTTTTGACCAAATTTCCGTATAAATAAATAAAGTGTGTACACGTTCCAAGTGTTCCTAGTGTGGACGCGTGCGGCGGCGTGCTGATACAACAACACGCCGCCGCGCGCGTATGTGTGAGTGTATAGTGTAGAGTAATCTGTAGGGTGTTCATACGATGCGTAATTAATTACACAACTTTTGGTTAACTTTACTTAGAAGTTTATTAATATTTATGTTATATTAATTTTTATTTTTGTCATATATAATCGTCAAATATCACGTCCTCAAATATCGATAGTAATTCACCAGTCACCCTGTATATATATGACTCAAATGTTAGACTGGTAGAGTTTACGTTAAAAGAAAGCAAAGATCAAAGGTCAGCTGTTTAAGTAAGTTCCAATGTCTAGAGTCGTTCACTATAAGGTCGAAGGTCGAGGGTCGAGTGTTAGAGGTCTGTTCCAGATTAAGTTAAGAGAAGCAAGGGTCAAAGGTCAGCTGTTTAAGTAATTTTTCTATGTCTAGAGTCAGTCACTATAAGATCGAAGGTCAAGGGTCGTGTGTTAGAGGTCAAACCATAAACCAGCGGCCGGTATATACGTACGGCTGCGGCTGTGCCTCGCTGCCGGCGAGGCGGGCGAGGCCGGGGAGGCCGGGGTGATCCTGTCGAGGCGCGTCATGGAGTATGCTCTACCTGGACGTGCGGGGAGAGTGGGCACCAGGTCGGTCCGGCGGCGGGCTACCGACGACCACAGCGGCTGGGGGGACACCGGCTCGTCTGGAATGTGACAACAGGCGAATAAGTATATATGTAATATATGACACGAGCAGGATTCGAACCTGCAACCTACGTGTTATCGTTTCAGTCACTTTAATAACTGAGCTATCGTAACATTATTGGAGTTAGTGAATTAAACATTATATATTATGTATTTAGTGTCATACAGAAAGTAGTATGAGAGTTAGATTTTTATATAAATATATCTTAAGCTTAGACATTACTGTTTTTTACTTTATATTCAAGTTCAATTACATCATAATTGTCTACAACGTATGTTTATATATTTTGTTAATGTATATATAATTGTAATTTTAATAAAGATTTTACGTTAAGATTCGCTAAGTTATAGCAAATATTTTGATATTATATAAAATAAGACGTATGGTCATTAAAATATTGTAATCATAGACTAAGAACAAGTAGAGGTGTTGATTTAGAGACTCTGATTTCCTTGTTAACGCTATATATGGTAAAGTAATAGTCTAATATGACTATATGTGGAGTAAAGGTTGTGTGATAGGACCGTGAACGGCACGGTCACGTAACGATCACGACATGTTTATGGACATACTGGAAATACTTGGAATTTATTACTCTGTGAACAATTTGTTGATGAAGTATGTGTTTAATGTTTGATTTCAATTGATATTAGGTAATATTTCATGCAATAGTATGTTTTTAAAATATATTTGATGTAGTGTTGAGAATTAATTTCGATAGAAATTAAGACATACATATAAAAGAATTTCTCTCCTAACTTAATACTAAAATAATTATCAATTTTAATTTAAATAAAAAAAAAATACTTACACAGACTTGAGAACATTATTCCTTGATAGCGTAAAGGAAAACAATACATTTAAATAAACGTTACAAAATTTAAAAATACAATTATTAATTAATCACCTGAAAATGGGAAAAAATGTATATGTTCTACCAAACGTGAGCAAAAGCTTGGCTCAAAGCGTGTTCGCTGAGTGAGATAGATATAGACAGATACTACTGAGAGGGAAAGAGATAGAAACAAGAGTGGGGGGAGGAGGGGGTACCTTTATTGTCAGTATCAGATGTGTCTAGCTGAAGAGCGGACGCACGACGTGTTAGCGGCGCAGATGCAAACATCACATTATTCGTTGATGCCGCCCTGGAAACATATAAAATGATATATTTAATAAAATAAATAAATATATATATTTATAGAATAACATTCTTATTGAAACATTTCAATCAAAATGCACAAGCAGAGTTATTTATGACGTTCACATTCTAAATAATACTTTTAAATCATTATGTTACTTGTTAGTATCAAAACTACACGCGACATTTCATAATAAATAATTAATACATATTCATAATTTCTATTACATTACATAATATCTACTGAAACAACGTTACAATTACAATTATTATATATAAAATTATGTTAGGTAAACTATTACAAATGTATGTATGTACATCCCTTCCCAATAACTAAGAACAACAAATCTATACTTAAAAACCAAATCCTTGTTTAATAACTTAGGAATTTTTAGGAATACAAACAAAATTATGACTTATTTGGATGACTTTAAAGAAACAATTGCTATAAACGATTCATGAATCCGTATTTTTCATACGAAAGGCCAAAAAAAACACCGGAATGAACAAATTTATATATTAAGCAAGTCCCTCCATTTAATTTCGATGTCGCAAAATATTGCAAAATCTGCTGCATCCGATTAATTCTATTGTTCTGATACACAATGGTGTCGTTTAGTATATTACGTTACGTTACAGACACACAGACAGACAGACACCGCCCACCGAGATTATACCTACAATATATATGCATCATGAATTTAATACTATATGAGATAAAACCTCTCATCATTCAATGTATTCATATGCGTGTATCGGGTCCATCGTTGTAGAGAGAGGAGCTTCAACAGTGCCTGGGACTTGCGATCCAAGTGTAGGTTTAAATGTTTTATATATATTAAAATTGGGGGAAATTATGAGACAAACAGACAAACCTACCTATTATTTATAAAACAATATTTTATTGTTGCAGATATTAGTTTCATATAATGTTAATTGTGTGTTCTAGAATATGATAAGATTATACATCGATACGCTCGCTTAGTGGAAATTTTACAAATAAATTCTGACTCATATGTAACTTAAATAATGAAAAAAAAATGTCATTAAACTTTGAGTAAAGTTTAAATACAATGAGTTATTTTAAAACGTCAGTTCAAAGTGAGAAATTGTAGACTAACTGCGTTCATTTTGACGTTACAAAAGAATGGTAAGGTAAACTACGCTGTCATCCCTACTAATATTATAAATGCAAAAGTAACTCTGTCTGTCTGTCACGCTTTCACGTCTAAACCACTGAACTGATTTTAATAAAATTTGGTATAGAGATAGAGTTGACCTTGAGAAAGAACATAGGATAGTTTTTATCCCAGACTTTATAAAAGTTCTCCTGGAAACGCGATATAACCGAACTCCACGCGGGCGAAGCTGCGGGCGGAAAGCTAGTACTTATATATATTTTCTACTGGTCGTATCCCAGGTATATAATATATAGAATTTTAGTATCAAATGACTATGATTCTTTCGCGTGTTTGTTTTTATTTACACAAAATAATTAATTATCACAGCAATACGTTGATATTTAATACACTTTTGAATGTTTTATCGATCCAATACAACTGATTATTATTGAAATAAAATCGTTATCATGACGTGATAGTTATTTTTACCTTAAATATTCTAGTTAGCAACGGATATTAGTAGTAGCTCAATTTGTATGGAGACAGAACATATATAATATATGACTAACACGATGTCCGGAAAGAGAGAAATGCAAACTCAAATTTGCATACCCTTACGGACAATTAAAATTAACTCTTATTTGTATGATACATAAGAGTCATAATTCATATGCGAAATCATGGTTACAGTACGGAATTATAATGAATCGAGTAGATTAACGCAGCTTTCAATGTTTGGTAGAAAACAGTTAATATTGTACAGAATATTTTGCCTACTGATGTGTTTCATTTGAAATAATATAAATAACAAAAATTATGTTTAAACCGGTGAAGGAACACATCGTGAGGAAACCTGGACTTAAAAATTTCACAATTATAACTTATAAGTTTGAAATCACCAACCCGTCTTGGGCAAGCGTGGTGATTAATGCTCAAACATTCTCCATATCAGAAAGAGGCCTATGTTTAAAACGAAAAGGAACCCCCTATACATAAAATATACGACGTACTTATTATACTCACAATTTAATTAAATATTTCAAAGTTGTTATATGTAACTCAAGCGATTAATATCTGTTTAAAGGACCGTGTACATGCGTTATTTACATGCTAAATACAGCAACATGTTAATACTTTATACATACGTCAGTAGGTGTAAAAGGTACGTTAGAACAAGATTAGTTGATATAGTAAAAAAAAACGACAACAAAAAAAATAATAATGAAACTGCTTACAGCGATTCAAAGAAATTCATCTGATCTATGGGGTTGGTACTGGAGATGAGAAAAAAATATAAATTAATAATTAAAATAATGAACAAAATAAAAAAAATTAAAAGGTTATTGACCTATTGTTAAGACCGACACCGAAACAGCTTTAATGAATTACATATATATTGAAACTCGTAGTTTTATGACAATTAATCTCATTTTAATATCTCATTGGGATATAATATAGTTTTTCTTTCACCTAAAGCATATGACAGGCATATGTATAGTATGTCTTCGGGAATAGTGCAATCCGCGATCTACCATTGCATACTTCCGCGTATCTATATTAGAAGCAGATTATCAGAAGAAAGTTTGAGCTGAAATATTATCTAAATTAACGACTTTTAAGGTAATTTTTGCACAATTTAGTTATACATTAAACTCTCAATAATTACTAATTGAGGAAAAAATTCCTTGTAAGTCGTTAATATAGAAAATATTTCATCTTAAACTTTCTTCTGATAATCTGCTTCCAATATAGATACGCGGAATTATCCAATGCTAGTTACGCGGATTTGCACTATCCCCGACGATATATGGATAACATAGTTTCTTTCACCAAGCATATGATGGGCGTAATATATATTATGTGTTATTCACCTGCGCGCTGCCCAGAAGAAGCCAGCAGAGTCCACAGGCTCTAAAAGCCTGGGTGTTGAAGATCCGAAGGCGAATGCTGGCCTTGGAGATGACCGAGCGGCCCTCGCGCGCTCAAGACGCTCAGAACGATCACGCTCTCGTTGGAGAAGAGCCTCACGCCTTGATACTGAAGCCTCCCATATCGCGCGCTTACGCTCCTCGACCTACGATACATTAATATAAATATGATATATATAAAACACATGAAAACTATAACTTTCTTCAGAAAAATTACGTATTGAAAAAGTCGAAAGGTATATACAAAAAAATATTGTAAGAAATTTATTCTAGTTTAAAATATATAGAGAAAAATAAAAATGGCGTATTTGAAGTCAAAATGTAGATATGTAAAAAAATAATGTAAGAACTTTATTCTTGTGTAGTACTCAACGAAACTATATTAAATTTATCATGTATGAATTGTCTACTAGCAAACTGACTGACACAACTAATATAATAATCTACCTACATTACACTGGACATCATATAATTTTAACAATATCGAGCAAGTAACTAATACATAACATGTAGTTTAAAATATGTAGAGACAAAATAATGTGATAGAAAATAGATGTAGGAAGTAGGAACATCACTATGTATAATTATGTTACCCAATCAACACGATCACTTAACGGCTTAAAATTAATTACAAGCTTTTACTAGACGGGGTCGAAACAACCGACTAAAGATATTTATAGACTTGAGGTATTCAGGAACAAAACACTATACAAATTATAATACAATGATATAAAGAAATAACTGATTTTCTCAATATATTAAAAGAATTTAAACTCCATTGAAATCGTAAGCATATATGATTCAGCGTTATATAAATATATATTATATAATAAATAACATGTCTATTGTTTTATACATATAATTACGATTTTATATACATATAAATATATAATAAAACGAGGTAATAATACAAATTCATCAACAAGAGTACAAAAACATCCAGGGGATGAACATATGTTGAACATTAAAATACAGATAACTGTTTCATGCTTGTCGTGTGTGGTCCCAGGTCGCCGTACTATACAGTATAGACAACGATATTATGTATTTTTAAACTTAATACATTTTGTATGAAAATCCCATACATACATACATATTTACAAATGTATTTGTATGATACATAAACACTAAATAGCCTATATAAAGATTTATATTTGTTATTATTTGAACCAAAACTCACTATTAGAAACTTAATGTATATAATATATATGTATATAAATGACATTAAGTATAAATAATAAATAAAATCTGCACAAAACTTATTGAATTATAAAGAAAATGCAAAATTTTTATTCCTATTTATATTAATATTTGCCTGATTGATATATTAAGTGTACTAATTAGACGTCGATTTTCTTTATGGGCTGGTTAATTTAAAAAATAATATTCCCAGCAAAATTCAACGATACGTAAACGCGGCACTGCCTCGCATGCCATTTAAATAATTAACTCGGTACAAAGGCTATAAATTACTGAACACAAATCTAGATAATAGGATACATAAATAAATAATGAAACGACTAAAAGAAATGTAGGTATAAAATAAATATAGATATACAAAGAAACTATTTAACACCAACTTTCGTTTGTTCATAGTGATAGTGTGACCAGCCAACGTCCTAAAAGGAAGTCGCCTCGTTATTTTCGTCCTGACTCCTTCGTGAGTTATATTTATATAAATATTTTAAACTACACGGCGAGCGACGCGACTATAGTCTTATAAAATACTTCAGTTTCATAGAATAAGTGCTCAAGTTTATAGCGAATCCATTCAAGTTCACACACAATGTTTTGCGCGCAATGGACCTCGCAGATATTGATGGACTTATCCCGGTATAAAACAATCTGATTAAAAAATAATTGTACCGTACTATCGCTGTTCTTCGGAATCCTAAAAGGAGAACAATCTTAAAGGACGGCGGCAAGCGTGAAATTCTCACTTCTAAATATAGACAGAGTTCGTTGACCTCTAAAGTAGAGCAGCTTATAAAAAAAAATACCGATACGAAATCATTTAAGTGGCGACTAAACAAAAAGGGTTAAATATTACATGAACGCAAATAAGATAAAACGAACACCAGTTCTGTAGGAATGTTCGCCAGACATTGCTGCGATACTTAAGATATATCCTAAATTAGATCAAAACGCTGGAATAAATATCTAGACGTCCGCTGTGTGTGTGTGTGTGTGTGCGTGTGTGTATGTGTATGTGTGCGTGTGTGTGTGAGTTCCTTTAAGCGAACTAATAATTGCGAGTTATATAAGACATGACCGGGTCATGCGTCGTTTTATTGACTTGATTATTTGTCATACGGAGTGATTGTTATCATACATCAAGGTACGACATATTATACATGTATGAGACACAACAACTATATAAAGAATTATGTTTATTTCCTTGATAAGTACATTTTTTGTATACCAATAAAGAAACCAAGTTTAAAATATTAACTTATGTTAGAGATAAACTTGTTTGATTCATGAATACTACCGAAAATTGGAAAGCAGCCAACTTATGACAAAAATTTAAGCAAAATATCTCCGTAGGTCAAAGTTAAATCCGGCTATTTCTATTTAAACACCAAAATATAGAAAATTTAATGAACATATTTAGTATTTAAATGACCACCGTACGTACATAAGTACGGCGGTATGACATCATCGTACAAGGACGCTTCATACAACAATGTGAACAGAATAATTAGTAAAAGATTTGTACTTATTGCATACCATCATTCAACTTACAGTATTTACAATATAAGGTGTAACAAACAAACAAACTCACGTGTTTATTGATGCGTATGTCCATCTCAGAACAGTACTCTAACCATTGGTAAAGGATTATAAAGAATTATTCGACTAGTTTCTTAGATTACCGCTCACAATCACCTCTTTAAAACACCGCTTCATACTGTATCAAGCTATTATTATTGCATTATAATAATTATACACAACAGTTCCTTAATCTGTTGAAAAGTGGAAAGCTATTAAAATTATCAGTGTATTGATAACATGCAAAACATATCATCGGTTATCAGAGATTAAACACATTGAACGACAATCCAGCTGAGTACATATAGATCAAACTTTTATTAAATATTGATTGTAAATTGGAATAAATATAGGGAGAGAGAGAGAGAAAGTTAAGATGCACGTCAATTTGTCCAATAGAAACGCTTCAGTATTCAAAATAGTTATTTTTTTTGTAGTAAATACATACATACATTAACTATGAAGCAAGTAGATATTTTGTCACAGTCTAAAATTTGATTTAATACTTTTAAACATAATTTGAATCGCAAAGTTAAAATGTACCATATTTTTAGTATTTTATTGGATACTAAGGTCGTCAACGTTATCAAATTTTATACAAAAATATTTATTTTAAGTTTTATTTATTTTTTACGTATAAAGTTCATCATGTCAAATATATTTACATTTTGTTTCCGCTTTAACTATACATATTTCGTTTCACTAAGTCTAGACTCTAGAGAGTTCCATTCACAATAATCTGTACGCTTAGTACAAGTTTCCAACGTATGTACAAAGAGTTTACCGTCTCTCAACGACCCACATTAATATGCGAAGATTTATGAATAAGAAAACTGTTAACGCTGCGTACATTGTGTGAAACTTGTGATAAACATATTGAACTTTGTTCGTTTTCTTTATGTAATACTATATATAATCTCTATATACAGTTGTATATAAGATCACATCAAGTCAGTCTTTGTGATCGTGTTATTTGTGATGCTAATATATATACGCAAACCTCTTAAATCTTTAGCTCACAGATATTTCAACAATGACATCATTTCCATTTCCATCTGTAGATAACTTGAGATAATTTATAAAATAATTTAAACGCACTTCATAAAGCCGAAAATAATTTTCACATCCCTACTATTATAAATGCGAAAGTAACTCTGTCTGTCTGTCTGTTACGCTTTCACGCCTAAACCACTGAACTGATTTTAATGAAATTTGGTACAGACAGAGTTGACCTTGAGAAAGAACATAGGATAGTTTTTATCCCAGACTTTTGAAAGGTTCTCTTGGAAACGCGATATAACAAAACTCCACGCGGGCGAAGCTGCGGGCGGAAAGCTAGTATGAAGTAATTTAAACGCACTTTTTTCTATAAACCGAAAATAATTTTCACATCATTTAAAACGAAAACAATTTCTCAATTATTCTAATCTTATAAGGCATTAAATTTTCATCAGAGTAAGTGTATAATGAAATGAGATGCTGTGCTCCTTAGAAATAATCTCAAAATCCACGACGACGGTAGAATAATATATAGGTATATATATAGCATCAAGGATGTATTAGTAATACTGTTTTATTGACAACTCGTGTTATCAATGGAGATATTATTATCACGTTATCGGTGTACCTTTATCTACAGTCACTTCTTATGTGTACGAATCTCAAAATGAAATTATTTATGTAATTAAAATCATACAATTAGATGACTAGCAGTGTTAATAAGGTCTTAAAAAAATTAAGACGGAACAATGTTAAATATTTTATTGAGTATTTCTTACTATCGTTTAAGTCAGTGTTTTTAATCTGAGGGTTGCGACCCCTACTAGGGCGGTAGCGATGACTAGATCGGGGTTTGCAAGGAAAAGGAAAAATGTTAAGTTCTACACTACAATAAAAACCAAATCTTAATGTTAAGGATGGTCTTGTTTATTTTTCAAAAGCATGTCAAGCCGTGGTGATATTTTTGAAATATCAACTATCAAATCAGCATGTAATTAAACTTTGAAGTTAATTTCTCTTTTTTGTTTTGTTGCAGAGAATTTTGAACTTGAACTTAGCTTTTAGGTTAAAAATTTCCTTGGGTTTCTATGGTACAAGGGGGTCGCAAGAGTTTTCAAGCCATGCGATATCGAAAAGATTGAAGAATCTATGTGTTCGTGTCTGTCTGTATCTATATGTATATACCTGGGTCCTCCTATCCTCGTCCTTGGAGCGAGCCTCAGCCATCCTCCTCCTCCGGTCCTCATCCCTCTTCTCCCTCTGCGCCTGTGCTGCAGCAGCATGAGCTCTCAGCTCGTCGAGGCGTTTCCGTTGCTCGGCCTCTCGCCGTTCGCGCGCCAACCTCGCACGATCTAAGGCCTCTGTGTATAAATGTTTTAATGTGAGAACAGTCTACAATAAGATCTAAGTTTTTCGCGAGTATTCATTTAAACGGTACTAATTTTTTTCAGATGCTTTGTTCTAGTCTGCCCGTGATCATGGTTGCTGAAAAGTAACAGAAACGTCGGGAGTATGTAGATTTTTACAAAAAAAGAGCGTAAGATATCCGAAAAATATTAGTTCCATTTAAACAGTCTACAATATTTTAAAAAATGGATTAAAAATGGCAACATGTTGGAATTACACTATGATTGTTTGTTATATTATTTATATATAATATAATTAATAAGTAATCGTGATACTAATAAAATTTTGGAAAAATTCTCTATGGATCTCAGAGAAACATTTTAATAAAAACTATGTCGTATGATAACCTTATAAATACTAACAGTTTCTTGAATTGTAATACAAATAGTTGATACATTACACTATTTACGTAGGAATGCGGTACCGCATTAAATCAAATACTAGCATTATTAAACTATACCATTTTACTTCAATAATATGTTTAATTTACTCCAATACTTATAAAGTAATGGTGCCATCAGACGGACACTTTCACGTTTGTCATAAAAACATCGACGAAGTGAAATAAACCGAAGCATTTGAGAAATAATCACCTTTCTCTCATTCTATAAATTTGAAAACATTACATTAGATTCGCTTCATTTTTCAGTACAGTTTTTTTACAAGGCGTGAAACATCCGACGTTTATTGTGGGGCGTCATGTGAGTGAAAGTGTTAAGACCGATTTTTTTGGAGGCGGAAACGTTTTAATAAAGCGTGAAAAACAACAGACAATCTATAGATAACAATGACGTTTTGTGTTGCAACAATACTTAGATATATATTTATTTATTTTTACCTTCTTCTACCTGGCAATTTCCCAGCTTTAGCCAGGGTCTGCCTTACATGTTAATAGTTTTGGCTAAATGTTTTTACGACCGGCCGCCTGCCTGACATCAACCCTCTTTTGGGAATGCATTAATCAGTGATGTCTAAATACTCTTAGAAAGTACATATGACTCGGAAAAATCACATTGGTACTTCCCAGGGCCAGAATCGAACCCGCGCCCCCGATTTTTATTACGTACTTTTATTAACAGTTCTAAATAACAGTATGTACCAAGATAGAAATGTTTAAACCGGCATAATGTGACAGTGTCGACTCGGCCTAATTTTTACTCACGTACATACACCCACGGGGGCCTTATATAAATAAAGGTCAGTATATAAGGTCCACCTACATCCATCTTAATACGAACAAATATATACAGCATTCTAATACGTTTTCTTTAATCATTATGTTGAAACGTGACAAATGTTAGGTGCTAAATTATATGTTATAAAAAAGAGTAATTTCAACAAATGTGCACACAAATTATGAGTTTCTAAATATTAACTATATAATGTCTCTCTAAAAAAACTACTTAATACCTAATTTATATTTTATACTGTACTATAAATACATATCAAAGTTATTATATTAAAAGCTAGGTTTTATAATAATCCGATGATATATTGTCTAACAACGGTAAAGTCTATGGCACAAACCTATTCAGCCTACCATTGTAAAGAGGTTTATAGCCGACCAAGAGAATGAATCAAGAAATTCCGATACGCACTGGGTGAATTCAAGAACGGCTATTGATTAAACATTCAGTAAACAATGAGTATTCATAGACGAGGAATGTTATAAAATAGATTATTGATTGAAACAAACACATACCTATATAATATTTATGGTATAATATTTTTAAATAGAAATCTAAAGCATATAATCTAAACATTTTGCGAATATAACATTTTCGAAAATAAACTTTAAAAACTGATCATCATAAAACTAACATTTTTTTAATTTTACCTATGGTTTAAATTTTATGTAGCTTCTAGCTATAATTTTGTAAAAATTATCTATGTTGGTGATATTGGTATTAAGCATATTTTTATATCAGAATAAAAAAAAATTGACAAATTGTTATTCTAATTATTAATATTTATGACCCGTTTACACTTTCACCATTTTTAATATACCATTGCAAGATAACTTCATACAAAGCTCGGAATTAAGATATTACTACGAATTTGATCGAATTCTTTCGACTCATTAATCATTAATTTGTTTTCTGCAAATAGGCCTTTTAGACTTTACTTACTATTATTACTTTTTTACATTTTAACAGAAACATAATTTTTATATTCATATGAAGAATCGCCGTTAGTAACTGCTTAATTTCTCTTGAAATTAATAATCTTTTCTTACATTAAATATTAAAAGACTTGAGAGTATTTTAATTTTGCATATCACAAGATGTCCTCAATCCTTATCATTGTTTGAACTTAGTTTGGTGCAATCTCGTTTGCAATTTTATGGTAAATATTTATAATAACGCCTACATGACTACATCTCAGAAATGTTAGCAACGAAATCCTCTTGAGCGTAGGTTTTATTTCCATGACACAAATTACTAATTATTTAGACATAATATTTTGAGTATATTACATTAATTTATTTTGAATACCAAAATTTCTTTTCCTGTTGCGAAGTCAATTTATTTTCTGCTATTATAATTAATTTCCACCAGCACACGTTTTGGTCGACTTTTTACTATAACAGTTTTTGCCAAACTTGATAGTGATAAAAACTGTCACCGCTCTACCACGAAGAAATACTCAACTGTAATTTGAGAGCTGAGAATTTTTGGGAGCACTAAATATTGACTATGATATGGACGTAATAGATAAATCTCAAAGGCTTTATAAACGAATTAAAAATATTATCAACAAGGTGAAATAGATTATACATTTAATCCTTTTATGTATCCTTACAATGAGATTAAAATATATCCTTACATATTCAGGTTTATGACCCAAGTGAAAATCGCAGACAAAATTGACTGACACGTATTGCAATCGGGATATAATTTTTATCATTGATCACAGGTTAAAAACAAACTTCTTTATACCTATATCACAGTCAGGTTAATAATTAAATATATCAATAATTAACTAGATTCCGAGTGATCTCTCTGAAAAACACTATATTGGAACAATATAGCGATAAATTTTTATATGGTAATTAAAAATTTAATTTATTTCGATACATAAAAACCTTTCTTAATACGAATATCCTATCAAAAACTTTCATATATTTTATTACATTTAAATTGGCAGTAACAACCTAATAATTATTATTAACGTCAGATCTAACAGCTATCTGTTAACAAGACGAAATTCTCTAGATAAGGTTAAATGCCAGTTGCACCAAATACTGCATTGCCGTCAGGCCGATAACCCAATTACTTTAGAAGGAATCCAATACGAGGCAATAAAAAGTTCATTTCAAAAAGATCCAATACTCCACTTTCATCCAAACAAGTCAACTTTTGGTCTTATTGAGGCTAAGTTTAAATAAAAAATTTCAATTCGATTTTAAGTAATGCATATTATTTATACATATAAATTAATCTTCGTGTAATTTACATTTAAATGATAAATTCTAATCTTTGACCAGTACAGAACGCATTCATCTATTTCAGATAGGCTCGAAACGTCTTTACAAAGGTATTTTGATTCAGCAATAAAACCACCACTTGATTGTCTACGTCATTGGGAACGGAAATCGCCATGCCCGGGACTAAAATCAATTCAAACATACATTACGATCACAATTTTCACATATAACGGCTTTAAAACACAAAATAATGTAGCCATTTATATAAAACAGGAATAATGACATATACTATCAAATTATTTTTATACACATTTGTTCAAATCATATGTATTTAATTCATTTCAAGTGCGTCCCTATTTACACAGCCAATGTAATTAACGGTACGAAATGATAATATAAATCACAATTACTATCAAAAGGCCAACTTACACATGAAGTAGTTATAAAGAAAGGTGTGTATAAAACAAATGTATACCAACGGATAATAATTAAAAAAACCGTAATTAATTTAGTGACGTGAACGCGGTCATAACCGGCACGCGTGTATTTTATCGTACGATTTTTTTTCCATGTTTATAAAATGTATAAAGAATTCATCTTGCATAGTAACATTGGAAAGTATCGGTTAATTTAGATTTTATTTTGTTTTTCCTAGCTTCAATCTATTTGGGCTATTCGGATGCACTTGAATATTTATAATCGATGATGAAATACAACTTTGAATATAAGTTATAGACAATTTTCTAATTATATGTATACTAAATAAAAAACTATATTTGATAAATACCTAATAATATTAATAATACAGGTGGGTTTTCATAAATATTAAACAGCCAATATTTGCCTATTGGTATAGATTTCTATATATTAATCTACCCACAGGTGAAACCCACATAAAATTCTCTGTAATAATTGACAAAATATTTGACACCTTACAAGGATGTTGAAGAATGATTTCTATTAAAATAACTTGTGAGTTCTCTTTTGTATGTTCAGTTTATTGACTGGAGACATTGCAAGGTCATTCATTTTCTAAACACATTTTCACAGTAGATTACTGAGCAAATTTATTAGTAAGTCATTGCACTGACAAGCAAATGACTGGCTATTTTACCAACAATGTATATAACATGGCAAATGCATCGATTTCTAGAAACTTACTTTCAATGCTTGGCAACAAGTGATTTAACTAAGAAATTTATTACAATTTTCTAAAATAAACTGAAATATTACAGTAATAGTCATCTCTTACTACTTACTTACTCTTTGAATTCATACAAAGAGCTAGATAATTTCAAACTATTAATGATTGACACTTGTCCGTGTTGTTATTGTGATTTAAACATGGTTTTATAGGTAATCCTAACATTAAATACAACGGGAAAACAACTACCTAAATATTCAAAATTATTATATGAGCTTATGAAATGTGGTTTGTTTCAAGACACATTACTGATACATCTTCAAGACAATACAATTATTTAATTTAAAGTTCAAATAATATTAGATAATCATTTGCAATCAGCTAATTAGATGAATAAGGCATACCAACAAACAACTATATGACTGACAAAGTCAAATAAAACAATCTGACCGATTGACATTTACCAATTTTGTTTTGAAATTTCTTGTGGGTTTAATGAATGCACACTTGGTTATAAAACCATATTATATTGCCAATTTGGTAAACGCTAGCTGATTCATAACTCTACAAAATTATTTGTCCGAATGACTATGCAAATATAAGAAACAATTATATTTTATGCAAAGTCTCAAATCTAAATTACTGTTGTATACCTGTTGTTGACTTAAAACATACTAAATTTATCTCCTTATCACAATATAATTAAAATTAAACCAATTATTATACATCATAAAAATATGACAATTGTATGATATTAAAATATATATAGAAACAAAGTCTATAGTTATTTATTCATATGTTTATAAATATTTATATAAATACACATAATAGAGACAGATATTTCTGCATATTTATTTAATTCCAACTTGTAGGACAAGGTTATCTTGTACCTTTTATTATTAAACTTGTTCCAAATGCTAATTGTAAAAATTTATCAATGGAAAAGTTGATGATGATGTCACGAGAATTATAACTGTAGATACCATATCCAAATATGTAAAAGATTCTCAGTTGCTGAAGAACAAACGTTTTTTGTACCTTAAATATATGATATAATATTCAGTATCAGTTTTTATTGGGTTTTTAAGAAAGAAAAGCTTATTCATGAAGAAACAGAATAAGTCAACCTAATTTTGTCTGAAAATTCACATTTCTATAACAATATGTTTATTTTAAAGTTAAATTTCCAATTACTTGAAAAGAATAAGCCAAAATAAGTCTAAATACATAGATCTCTCAAATGACAACTTTGATAAAAATATATAGACTTAGAATAACAAGACAAGGTCAACACAGATAACCTAAAAGAAAGCAGCTATTTACTCATTCTGTTAATTAGTGATCTAATCCAAACATCAATACATATAATGTATACTATTTAGAAAATTACTAAGTAAAATTATCATCCTACTTTAAGTAAATACCTAAACTATGCTGTTTCCACTTTTCATTTGGTTGTTATAAGACCAATTTGCGCATAAATTGATAAAGAGATTGATAAGATAAGTAGAAAGTGAGCAGACTCCAGAGACGTGTGTTGTAGACTCGAAAAATATGCACATACATGCAAATACTTATGTACTTACGTCAGAGTACCGAATGATAATGTAAGACATGACTCAAGGTGCACATCACTCTCCAACGACATTATTAGCATACCATACAGCGAATGGATCAACGTAATGCGACAATATTAAATAACGGTAAATATGCAGAGAATCCGGCAAAACCGTAAGGCGAAAAAATGACAGGAGCTCCGATTCTACAGTTTATTGCACATTCCTACGCACTTTTCACCGCCTGAGGCCGTTCCTCTAAATTTAGAACATACCACGACGTCAAAAGACGTCCTAATGTAGATGAAAAACAAAACATCAGACTGCGACGGCCACAACCCACTGCGGAGTTGCGGACATTCTCGAAAGCTGAGCACAAACCCACGACGTGGGGCCACGACGCGATTTAGGGTTAGACGATTTCGATCACATTTCACATTAAAACGGCACGTATGGATTTCAAATGCACATAATACCTTTACTTTCAGCTTTTTCCGTAATATCTTTCACGTCATCAACCATCTTGCTCGATGACAGTCACTCACTGTTCACTTTTTATTCGAACATATTTCGAAAACTCATACTTCGTTCACTATTTCCAGCCAGACGGCCAGCGAGCGCTCCAAGCGATCTATACAGCGACAGTTCGTTCCGTTCACTGCCAGCGAAGTTCCAACAGCGATAGATGATTGGTGAATATTCATAAAACTGAAGATGGCGTCTAACAAAATTTAAAATGGTTATTCAGTTATGCATTATTTAAGAATAGTCTCTTATTTAGCTCTGTTGAACTTACAAAGGTATTAGTGTTAGTCTAAAAATATCTTTTTTTTTTTATGGCACAAGGCAAGATTACATTCGATTTAGTTTTAATCTATATGATACGAATTGCGTCAATTTAGTCTGTATTTATGACATAAGATTAGAGAATTGACATTTGTAGCAAACAGTTGAATGTTTTTAAAATTAATATAACATATCATTTTTAAATTTATCAAAATATTTTTTCATTCAGAAAAGAGTTTTCTTTTTATTATTGTTTTTTTATATATCAGTTGTTTATGTTTAAAGCAACACTGCCATCTATATGACATTTCGAATCTAACGTTACTTGTTAATTATGTTGTTCTTGTTTCTGCAAAAGAAACATAGATGGCAGTCTAAATAAATATTTTGTATTAATTTTATTATTGTTAAACAAGCTCTCGTTAACAGAGTGGATTATTTAAGAAACAAGAAAAACTTAATATTTTTATTTTTGCGTGATCGATTACTCCAGGATTTGGTGGATGAGTTATGTCAGACTGATATGTAATTTAAGAAGCTACAATGTCATTCATAGCCAGTTAATTGAGAGATCATCTATGAACAGTTCTTCAGCAAGAAGCTGAGCAATGGGCAGAGTTATGTCATTGTATTTGTGATAGGGCGATGTTCCTCTAAAGGTTGCTTGATATTCTTTTCCCTTTCACACTCAGAAACAATATGCGTGACATGAAACATCTCGCAATCACCATCAGCTATCGAGAATTTGACTGATTTAATAAAGATTGTGTAGTCCTAACTCATTTTTACTTATACAAAGCCCCAAATAAGGGGTTAAGACTTTTATAAATATGTATATGATCCTTGCTTTTTTAATCTAGTCAAAACACTCAATTACTGCAAACCCGTCGTGTTAAACGCCTTTCTGCCTACCAGGGAACAGTTTCCCCTGTCCTTATCCTAACTGACAATCCTACCAGCGAGTAATTTTTCCCTACAGAGTCCCTCATATATATAGCCGGTGTTCAAATTTGTATTAAGCGTGATGATAGAAACCAGAGTGCTTTTTTTAAAGTAAATAAATAATGGTACCCTTTTCTGCATCTGTGCAAAACACAGACTTTGACTGAATATGTTCTTATGAATACCCTGAGAAATACCTTCCTTCCTTCATCATAGCTTAGTGAAGTGAATACTATATTTATCGTTCTGCTCTTGTTGTGAATGTGGTTTTGAAGCTACAATTTATTACGCCTCTGTAAAATTGTGCAGGACGTAATGTGGTGTGTACGTCAAAACCGGCCAATTAATGCCCACAATTTTTCAAATGACACTTTTTATTCATCTGTTTTATACTTACGAATACCAATAGATTGCTGACTTACGATATACTTATTAAAGTCGTTATTAGGAATACTAAAATTTGTAACCACTTTTCTCGAATATAACTTCATAATAGTCCTTTTGTATGAACTATGTATATAATAATAACATATTTAATTCGTCCTTAGAAAGAGAAACCTCATAGTATGTTGTTGAAATCAGTTAAAGGAAGATTACGTCCGGCATTCAAGTAATCATATATTCAATATTCATGTTGTTAAATCACATTGATTGGTTAATACAATAAAACAGTTGAATGTAACAATAATATTACATTATCTTCTTCTACCTGGCAATTTTCCAGGTTTAGCCAGGGTCTGCCTTTAATGTTTTTTGAATAGTTTTTACAATCGGCCGCCTGCCTGACATCAACCGTCTTTTGGGAATCAACATTAATCAGTGATGTCTAAATACTCTTAGAAAGTACGTATATGACTCGGAAAAATCACATTATATAAATCACATTAAATACTATAAGTCTATTACATTATATAAGATTTAAAATATTTACCTAATTAATTTTTCATCATATTTAATACTATGTAATAGATGTATTTCCAAGAAAATACACTTCACTGAACAAGCAGTGCTTATAAAAGTGATTGTTTTTGAAAGATATTTCAATATTTGTTTTCATTGTGCATAATTGTTTAGATATAAAACTTATAAGTTAGAGAAGAAAACTCTCATCATTCAATGTATTCACCGTGCGGGTGTCGGGTCCATCGTTGTAGGGAGAGGTTCAACAGTGACTGGGACTTACGACTTGCGTTTGGGACTGGGACTTTCGTTTAAGGAGCTCCTATCTAATAATAATTAAATAAATGTTTTTGACTACCTTGTTAATAAAGTAATTATAAGATATTTATTATCCCAGTAGCTAGAGATTTCTCAAAAATATGTTTTTAGTCTTGTCTAGGTGTATGATATAATTATAATAATAGCATTATTCCTAATCTGAATAAAATAGTTTTAAAGTGGATATCCTTCTATAAGTTTTGGAGATGGAGAACGAATTTTAAATTATCTGTGTAACTATTTCATGTAAACCATAAGTCGACATCGTCGACAATAAAAAAAAAGTTAATACTTAGATACTTTGATTTTAAGTTAATGATGCGTATAACTGGCAGAAGTGTAAAATAATTAACTTCAGTCTTTGTTCTCACTTAATATTATAAAACATGTCTTAATATTAAATGTCATTCTTATTATAAGTCGCTAAAAGTATTTCACCAGGTTTTTATTATTTTTGTAGGTAAATGTCGTGTTTTTAATAATAGCAATTACCTTTTTTTTGCCTCTTTTAAAAACAAAGGTAAATCCAATCAAATATGTATAAAAAAATATTCTTTGGTTTATTTTATTTTGTCATGTCAGCAATTTTATATTTATAATATGTACCGGTTTTCATTTAATAGTGATATACCTATATATGTATAAAAAGTACAATACAATCTCTTCAGCCTTACAACTTTACAGATTATATCAAATATATGTGGGATTAATTGCTGCTTAAAAAGAAAAAGTTTTATATTAATAACTTTAGATTTATGGGCAACATGGCATACTTTTGCTTTTTTATTTACAGAGGCTTAAAAATGGCGTCTCTTTTTTTTGAATCGGTTTCGTTTTTAAGAGGCTTATCCTTAATAATTATATGTCGAAGAAGATACAAGTAGGCAGTGGCGGCCGGTGGGTAATCGAACCGGTGGTGCGCTACAAAAATATTAAAATTAGAAAATGCAACAAAACATAACGAAATGTCAATCATAGCACCCATCATTTCGCGCCCTTGCCTGCCGGCTCAATTCGTCATACATCGGGTGCTCTCGGTAATCTTCGGCCGCTCGTGCGGCGCTCGAGAACCGACTTGTTACTCGGTACATTTCTATGAACGATCTTTTGTTTCACGAATCAGGCGTATTAAAGAGTATTTCATACAAGATGTATTAACAGTGCTCGTGCACTCGCCGCAGCGCACGATATGAGTTTCTCAAACTTTTGACCATAATTAGGAAATTTAATTTATTATAAGTTTTTATATGTTGAAAAAATAAATATTAATGGTAATTTAAAAATAAAGATGAAGTAATATTTTGTAATTTTTAAATCTTTTGAATTGGTGGTTCAGCGCACGAGTGCACTTAAGGTACAGCCGCCACTGCAAGTAGGTATATATTATCAATTTACAATGATTTTTTATACATATATACGTACAGCATAATTATTTCCCGCGTTTCTACTCTCTAGTCTCTTCTTAAATTTAATAAATTATTATATTTAGCATATAATGTCTAATAAGCCTTTTTATATAATTTAAGTATTCGCAGATTATTTCATCATCAGCCTATTAGAGCCCACTGCTGAGCAAAGGCTTCATCTCGCATGGAGCAGATTTGAGCATTAATTAACACACTTGCTCAAGACGGGTTGATGATTTCAAAAAGTTCCTCACGATGTATTTCCTTCACCGTCTGTCAGTGGTGTCTAAATGCTCTCAGAAAGTACATATGACTCGGTATAAATCACATTGGTAGGTACTTGCCAGGATTGAACCCGCACCCTCATACACGAGAGGCGGGCGTTCAACCTATAGACCACAACGACCTCCTCGTTATTTACCTATCTGTTATAAATAAAAAAAATGGAATGTCTACAAAAAGTTTAGATGAAAAAGAATCCGTAACTGACGGGAAAGTGTCTATTTGAAATGCTATATTTATTTTATTTTGATATAAAACTCTGGTTTATTTAAATATATATAAATGATATATATACCATTTTATGATTAAAATGCTAACAAATACATTCTCGTTAATGAACCGAAGCCTAATCATAAATTATGTGATGCTAGCTTTTTCCTTTTTGCTTCTATTTTCAACTAAATAAACACGATAAAAAAGCAATAAGTCAGATTTACTTTCAAATTTGTTTTCTAAAACATAATTTAAATAAATCTATTACATTTCTCTTCACAGAGCTCAGCAGACTGCAATAATACTGAAATAAAATAATCGTAAAAGAAAAAAAATATTTCATTTAAATTTTATAGAAGGATATGATGTTTGGTCACATCCGATTTGCACAAGAAATAAGGAATAAATAATCATAATCGTGAATAAATTTAGTTATTTGTAGCATTTATTATCAAATAGTAACAAGATTTCTGCTATAGAAAAATAAATGAAAAAACTATGATAATATACAGGGTGACTGGTGAATTACTATCGATATTTGAGGACGTGATATGTTAACTATTTATAATTAAATACAATCACCTCAAATTCTGTCATTCTGGCGGCAGATGATAAAAAATGCTTAATTTGGTATAACATAGTTTCTTTCATTAATAGTTTACTATTTGGATGTCAAAACTTTCACAGACTCATACTAAATAACGCCACAAAAAAAAACATATTTTTGGAATATTTTTTCGAATATTTTCAATGCTTTATTCAATTCAATGGGAAATTCCTTTTAGATTACATAAAAATCGTAATAAATATACTTTATAACATTTGAGTTCAATGTTACTAACGATTTCCAATTTTAAATTTTAATGCCCACATGCAGTCACGCAAATAAAATTCATGAATGTGTTACCATACAAAATTTGAATGTCGATCAAATAACTTAACACCTTATTAATTAATCTACATTCTTAATTCGGTATCATTATTTACAATGTTAAAACTGTTACAATATCCATATATGTGTATCATAAAATACAAAATAAATAGACGACATTTTGTATACAAAAAATAAACGACAGGTCGGCCGTCAATAAAAACTAAAACAAATTATGTGATACGCATATCATTAGATGTTATTTTGGCTGTGTAGTTCCGTTTTGCAAGTGCACCTGACGCGAGACTCAACTGGCCACTCGGGCCGCAGCTATCGCCTTGCCTGTCAGTACACGTTTGACTTTCGAACGTTATACATGCGCGGGAATATTGACATTGCCGCCATCTTTTTTTCCTCGTAAATCAAACAATGTTTTAATTAGTTATAAAAGTGTGTTGAAGATGATAATTAATTAATGATTTTACATTAGATATAGTGACTCAATAAGTGTTATTAGTGAAAGTGTTTAATTTTTCAAAATGAAATCGTCTACTATGTTATTCGGCGGATTTATTTTACTGGCTGTTTTGTATGGTAAGATTGATTTAAAAGTATATATTATATGTGTAGATATACAGAAAAGTACTATCACATATCAATTACAATATAATACACCCGAATAACATCGAACAAAGTTGAGTAAAGTCAAAATTTATAAAATAACGACTTTGTTGTCGAGTGTAAAAAATTTGAATTAAACACCTTTTATTTCAATGATAATAACACGAATTGTAATAAATCTTTATTATGATACGTTTAAAAATTATCGTAACTAATCTCACGGCCAACCACTGGAAGTTATATCCGTTACAAATTGATTACTTTTTATTTTTAAGTATATCAAAACAACGTCTTTTGGTAAACGTACTATTTTGACCCAAGCTTTCAGTGTACTTTTTCGTTTTCTTAAGTACCAATAAACCGGTCAAGTAAGGATTTTGTGAGTTAATTTAAAAGGTCACTATAAGTATACAACATTTATTAAACTTATGTTTTTATGTTAAAGAAATTGAAGAGAAAGTATTTCGTATTCCTTTACTTTTTGTTCAAGGATATTCCCATTCATTAGTGTCAGTAATTTCAATAAATTTCAATTTATTAATATCAATTGAATCGCGTAATTAAATGATTTAAATTAAATACTACGTACATATAACTTAATGT